CCACCTCTACCCGCCTCCGACTGGTACATTTAGGTTGTGTTCTTTCTTACAGATCAGTTCAAGATTCTTCAGAGATCCTTTTGTGGTTACTCTGAATGTAAAAGGGAAAATTATTTAGGGTGAATCTAAAATCAGTTATCTGTTTGTGTAGGAGGTGCTGGCCGGAGTGGTGGTGGTCACCAGTAAGGAGGCAGTGCAGCATCAGGGCATCTCTCTCACCATGGAAGGCCTTGTGAACCTGCAGCTCAGCTCCAAAAGTGTTGGAGTGTTCGAGGCTTTCTACAATTCTGTGAAGGTGAGGATTTTACCCCGGACTTTGATATGACAGTCGTCAGAGAGCTCCACCCAGCTGTCACCTTGGATCTCTGCCTCAAATGAGTTCAGGTCTGGTGTAGATGTTGGACATGGAAAATAGTGGACATGGAAAGAGTTTCAGGCCACGTAATCTTCCTCAAACCCAGGACATCTTTTCATTCGGACAGCACTCACTGAATTCAGCTGGACTTCAGTTTACTACTTTACAGTGTAAACTTTACACTGCCTTCCATTTTACAGGTTTTGTCTGTAAATTTTGCCCACAGCAAACTATACAAACCATGGGAAGGATTGAACCTGAATTAGGGAAACAATGTTGGATTTTCTCTGCAATTATTAGTATATTTACTCTTTATATTGCAAACCAGATCATTTACATAGGTCCTTTAATGCAGGCATAACATTTTGACAGATATCAGCATATTAAGGCCTCTTTTTTAAGGAATTGTCTAATCTTCATATGCCCAAATTTGACCTGATCTTTTCTTTTCTTCTGTCTCTCCATTGTAGAGCTGGGCAGTATGACAGTATTGATCATTAACACTTACCAACTGTGTGTTTGATGACAGAGAGCATAATTAGTCCTGTTTAGGATGCTGTAGTGCAGCACAGTATGTAAAATGTTGAATATAAATAATTTAATGTATAGTTTTTGACAGTGTTTTTAAAATGTGGGCTTGCTTAGTCTGTCCTAACTTACCAGACATCAGAAAGGATGAGCGGTTTCAGAAAATGTGTGTGTGTGTGTTTGTGTGTGTACTCCCAGGCTAATTTCTCAAAGCCTGTGAATTCTGAATGATTTCCAGCATGATGAGCAGGAAAACAACCTAATTTTTCTGTTGCTGCTGACACAGACTTCCTTTACATTAGCTACATTATCAGTGCAAAACTAACAGAGCAGACTTTGGACACTGATCGTGTTTGGTGTTTGGGGTAAAGGGAAAATTGTGTACAATTAAATTTCCAGTCAACCATTAATTTAAGTAACAATCCTAATAATACATTTTGGTTGATTGGCCAATTTTTAGGTTTTTGGCACCTCTACCCGCCTCTGACTGGTACATTTTAGATTGTATTTTTTCTTACAGTCTAACTTTCTTCAAAGATCCTTTAGTAGTTACTCTGAGTGTAAAAGGGAAAATTAGCTAGAGTAGATCTTAAATTGTAAAATAATATTCTATTGCTGTTTTAAGAAACTCTCATATCTCTAAAACGGTATCTTTTTTTGAGAAGGAAGTCGTGCTCTTAACATCTGTTCACACAACTTTCAAAATTTCTGTTGTTTCATTCTTTGTGAACAGAGGAGTTCCTTCCAGAAGTCATTAAACTCCACTTTCATGAATTTTTCATTTTTTTTCTGTGATATATGTTGTTGAGAGCGGGCTTTACACATGCAGTGAATATCAGTGCTATATCACGATTAATTAACCTTCATAAGAGAAATGAAAACACGGTATGTTGTATGTCAGCTGTTTTTGTTTTAAACCTCTCCTACTTATAAATGAATGTGCAGTATTTTGGAATGAAATTCACATACTGATCTAATGTGAAGGCCACCAGGAGATTTCCTGCTTCTTCAGGCCTGAGTGTGTTTGCATTGTTTCTGAGAATTATTAATGTACCATGGTTTATTATTAGTATTGTTATTATCTTGTTATTAGTTTGTTAGCTGTTAACGTTTCATATTGTCAAGGCAAGTAGCGCAGCTATGCTGCTGACAGTTAAATGTCTTTACGTTTCTCCTCAACAGCCCATTCAGCTCATCAACAGTAACATTGAGGTGGCTAAACCAGGCAAAGTCCCAGGAGGCAAAACTGAGATTCCATTCGAGTTCCCACTGCAAGCAAAGGGAAACAAAATGCTGTACGAGACGTATCACGGCGTTTTTGTCAACATTCAGGTAACTCTGGGAAAACGTGAAGGCTAATAGTTCTGAAGGACTTTGCATCCTGTTACTGCATCAGACATATTACATGTTTAAACATTAGGAGCAGTGAACAGGAGCTCAATGCGATTGAGCTTTATTCATTCAGAATTGATGAAATATCCTTGATTAAATCAATAATTCTGTCCGTAGTCAGAAAACATCGTATCAGGTACAGCTCTTTTATGAACCTCAAGCTGCTTGATTCTCATTAGAAATGCTTTTCTAGGTTTCAAGTATGCGCCAATAAATCAATGTATCTTTCAGGCTGGATGTTTGTTTTCATTTGAGGGAAAAATGGGTAGAAATATATAGACTTAAAATATGTATTTAAATATTTGGAGTACGGTGAAAAAGTAGGTGAGTGTTCGTGAGTTTACATCAGTTGAACAGTCATCATCCTCTTCTCCCTGTCCTCAGTACACCCTCCGTTGTGATATGAGGCGCCCTCTGCTGGCAAAGGACCTGAGCAAAACCTGTGAATTCATGCTTCATTGTCAGGTTAGAGCTCCTGCTGTTATGACTACATTGCTAATTTCTGCCAAGTAATTCTAGAGGCAGGCCTAAAATACCTAATTATACAGTATGACCGTTTATTATTATGTGTTGTCACATTCTCTAGCCACAGAAATCCAAAGTGCAGCCGAGTCCAGTTGATTTCACCATCACACCGGAGACGCTGCAGAATGTGAAAGAGGTGAGGGTCAGATGGCCTGCTTATAAACACTTTACTACTCACTAAGGATGTAAGAATTCTAGTGCATAAAAAAAAGGGTTTTAAAAAGTGTATCGAAATGTAAAACTGTATTTATGGTGTCACAGCAGGCATGGAAAAAGGTCTAATAGAGAACCGAGCCAAACCAATCTGTGTAGTATATATAATTACATATCTGTGGGATCATTTTTAACATACAAAATATTAAAAACTGAATTGAGTCTAGACCTCAGAATTGAACCTGAAAATGAGCATTGTACACCCCATCGCTACACACCTCGCACTGTGCGCATGGTAAAAATAATGTGTAATTGACCAGGCAGGATCGTTCTCAGCACTGCAGTAACACTGACGTGGTGGTGGTGTGTTAGTGTGTGTTGCGCTGATCTGAGTGGATCAGACACAGCAGTGCTGCTAGAGTTTTTAAACACCTCAGTGTCACTGCTGGACTGAGAATAGTCCACCAACCAAAAATATCCAGCCAACAGCGTCCTGTGAGCAGCGTCCTGTGACCACTGATGAAGGACTAGAGGATGACCAACACAAACTGTGCAGCAGCAGATGAGCTATCGTCTCTGACTTTACATCTACAAGGTGGACTGACAAGGTAGGAGTGTCTAATAGAGTGGACAGTGAGTGGACACAGTGTTTAAAAACTCCAGCAGCACTGCTGTGTCTGATCCACTCAGACCAGCGCAACACACACTAACACACCGCCACCACGTCAGTGTTACTGCAGTGCTGAGAATGATCCACCACCCACATAGTACCTGCTCTGTGAGGGTCCATGGGGGTCCTGACCACTGAAGAACAGGGTAAAATGGGGCTAACAAAGTATGCAGAGAAACAGATGGACTACAGTCTGTAACTGTAGAACTACAAAGTGCACCTATATAGTAAGTGGAGCTGATAAAATGGACAATGAGGGTAGAAACAAGGAGGTGGTCATAATGTTATGCCTGATGGGTGTACTTGCTCATATTAAGTTAAATAAATGAAAACCTATTCAATCTAATCTCTGTCTGCTGCATGTGTAGCATATGGGCAGTCATTCCCCTGCACTTACTAAACCAGCAGAAAACCTGTTGACACAAAACAGTCACTGACTTCTATTATAAGTGTGTTTCATGTCAGTGGGATCCTTTCTTGCCATTGGCTTCTATTAAGTGTGTTTGGAGTCATCAGGCTTTCTGTTTTACTTTAGAGAAACATGTCAAAATTATCGTCCATGGTGACAGACCAGATGCTGCAGCTGTCAGATTGAAAAACACTGGAATTGTCTTTGGCCCTATGTAAATCACCAATTATCAATAATCCATATTATTGGGTTAACTGACTAATTGTCAGTTATTTAAAACAATATAATTCTTATTGCAGAGGAGTTCTCTCCCAAAGTTCCTGATCAGAGGCCACCTGGACGCTACTAACTGTGTGATTACACAGCCTCTCACGGGGGAGCTGGTGGTGGAGAGTTCAGAGGTCGCCATCAAGAGCATCGAGTTGCAGCTGGTTCGTGTGGAAACATGCGGTGAGCGAAAAGACACATGGAACTACTCATGTCCCACACCAAACTCTGAATCAGTTAACCAGAGGTTGATTTGTGTTTGATTAGAAAGAGGAATATTTTTATCCCAATGATCTGCTGAGTTTGTAAGAAGCAGCTTTAAATGCAGCAGACAATAGACAAACAAGTCAGGTGGTAATGAAGAGTTTTGTTTATGACATTACAAGCTTGTTTACACCTTACATGAACATGGGTTTCATGTCCAGGTTGTGTCTGGATGTACTTTGACCAGACTTTATATACACTTTTCACTAAAATGCATCCCAAGTGTGACTAAATTCCATTTTACTTTCAGTAATCTACTGGAAACGGTTTTCTCACTTGTTAATACGAGTGTATTTTATTATGTTGAATAACGAAAGACAAGCAACGAATTGAAGACTTTGGCCTAATCCTATTTCACCCCTCGCCCCTACCACTCAGCCCTTAGCTGTCTGTTTTGCCAAACAAAACAAAATCCAAACGTGATCCGATCACTTAAAGCTGAAGACTTAATAACAAAACTGCAGTTTAAAGAGTGCAGTTTTCAAATCGCAGGACTATCTAATGTTATACAACAGTTAGTTCCGGCCACGCAAGCTGATTGGTTGAGAGGCGTTCTAACCGTGCTGTTATTTCTCCATAACATCACAGGTTTTTCACAAACACTGTGTCACTCCGCAGAGACGCCGATGCTAAGCAACGACTTTAACAGCTGTAGGAGACACTCAAGCCAGACAGCCGATTTGGTCAGACTCTGAAGATGAGATGACACTAAATTCCCAAACTGTCATCACCACTGAGCAGCTTTTCAGTCGGCAGCTGTGACAGAAGAACAGCTAAACAACCTGGAATCAGCCAGAAATGAACCCAGTACCATTCGCCAAGCATGTAGTCTGATCTTCAGAGTCTGACCAAATCGGACTGAGCCATAAAACTGACGCAGTGAAAAACAAAAAAGCTGCTCAGTGGTGATGACAGTTTGGGATTTTAGTGTGAGGAGCTGGAGAACGAACTGCTGGCTGTACAGCGAGTGGGCGGGGCTCGTTACTCTGACGTAGCAACAAGCTGCTCGTTAAGGAACTATAATTTGGTGAAGGAACTGCGAACATTAAAACATATTAAACGCCGCGTTCACAGCCCAGTTTATTAATTTATTACTTTATTTATTTAACTGTGGTATAAAAACAATAGAACACTCGAGGAGTGTGTTATCACCAGTAACATCGCGTCTGTGATGATCTATGGCGACCAAATCACAGCCGTGATGTTATTTCGCGATAACACACTCCCTCTCGCGTTCTATCGCTTAATTATTAAATTAACAAGTTTTAATTGTGGAAACCAGACACTGCATTCAGCGTTCGTGCCTGGAAAAATAGATGTACTGATCTTCTTGGTGCCAAAAGGCATCAAACTTAATTTTATAGAAATAAAATGCATTTAAATCATAATTGCAATTAGATATTTTCATGAATCGTTTAGCCCCATCATTGCCAAAAGCGCATGTTGATGTGAGGTATAAATACACTCTACATTTACAAATTCATTTTTTTTAAATATTCTCCTGTTACAGGCTGCGCTGAGGGCTACGCCAGGGATGCAACAGAGATTCAGAATATCCAGATTGCAGAGGGAGACGTGTGTCATGGCCTGCCTATCCCTATATTCATGGTCTTTCCTAGACTCTTCACTTGCCCCACACTTGAAACCACAAACTTTAAAGTTGGTGAGTGTCTGTTTTTTGTTATTCAGCTCAGTAAGACATAATGGCTCTTTTTCATCATAGTTGCGTAAAAAGGAGAGCAGATTTGACCACCTAATTACTCTGCGTCTGATTCCCGTCACTTTTGTAGCAGAAATTTCAGCGCAAATGATGAATCAGCATCAGTGTGTGAAATCAAGCACCGGCCTACCAGCACCTCATTTACATATCATTTACATGAAGCACCCCCTAATTCATGCAGGTGCTTCCGTAGGTAGCCAATAAAACGACAGCATTCAGGGGCTCATAAGCCAGTGGCTGTGTTCTGGAGTTTAAGGGTGAGCTGTGAGTGCACTGCACCCCCTACTGACCAGAGTTTATAGTGTTAAATCTACTCGAAAAAAACTAAAATGTGAGAAATTGTGAAATAAACAAAACATCTTAATTTTTAAGGCAATAGAATGATGTGATTGAGCAGTGTATTTATTTTAAAATAACAGATTTAAATACTGTACGATTCCAGTGTATTAGAGGCTTCTGCACCAGCTGTGTTAAGTTTTTTTAAACATTTGAATAGTTAAGCATCAGTTTCATAGTTTCACAGAATAGTTTTGGCATTTGTTTATGCCAATGTACATGTAAAATAAGCGCATCTACTTTAGTACTGAATTGGTATGTGCACAAAAGATTAATATTATTGTTACTTTCTATTTTAATTCTAATTATTTGTATTATAGATGACAATTTTGATGATAATTTTGGTTAGTTAACTGCAGATCAAGCATTCTGTTAAGGTTGTTGATGATTAACAAAAATGTGGATGAAATTTGACCATTCGCAGCTTAGATATAGATAATAAGGGGCAATGTGATCATTTCTGCCTATCCCATCTTTCTTGTAAGTACCAGTTAGGAATCGTCTAGGCAGAGCTAACAAACAACAAATAAAAGTACCCATCTTCTCTTGTTTAATTTGACTGATCGACTGTCACTGCCTTATTTTCAGAGTTTGAGGTCAACGTGGTGATCGTTCTTCACGATGATCATTTAATAACGGAGAACTTCCCCTTGAAGCTGTGCAGAGTGTGACAGCAGAACCTGCAGATTCACTGATGTCTTCTGGAGGATTTTTGGGAAGAGGCCTTACAAGTGTTTCAAGTCCCAGACATGAATTGCTGCGATTAAAGGGACAGTTCTTGGTGCTGCAGGAATGCAGCAACTGTAATACAAACAGTGCTTTATTGGTCAACTGAGCCAGGCTAAGAGCAACAGCCAGATGTTATCAGCAAATTCCAATAAGTGACAGCACTTATCTCTGTACATAGTCTTCTGCTCTTGGATGCTTCACTAAAACTGGACATTCGAAGACACCCAGTGCCAAGTCATGATAGAGAACAGAGCAAACCGTGGAACTTGGCAGCTTTTAGTCAGTTACTCCCTCATTGTGAATGTGTTACTACGTGCTTTCTTTAATCTGTTCTCAGATTCCTCGCAGCATCCATCTAGATTCATTCACACCATGAAGTTCAAACGTAAGCGAGGTCTGAGTGTAAGAGATACAGCCCTTATATCTCAGTCATGTGTTTTAAAATATTAATAAGGCATATTTAAATTTACACTCGGTTCCTGAATAATCCGAGTCTGTATCTGTCTCATGGTAATTACTTGTTAAAAAAGCTCAGCTGAAAGTAACATTTTATCTGCATTCTGTTTTTTTTTCCTGTTCAAAAGGAGCTTTTCATCTATGACACTTGTCACACATCACTGGGCTCCGGCGAACGACGATGGTGCTGTAACAAACCGTGCTAAACATGTCGTTTACTCACATACATGGAGCACTAGGAGAATCTGCACCTGTCGGTGTTGCTCGGGCGCATGCTGTGTTCTTTGCTTTATAATATTAATTTTAAACGTACTCAGGCAGGCAGTGAAGGTGGCCAATCTAAAATTGGAAACATCACTGGAGAATTCCGGTCCGCTGTCTGAAGATGTAGCCGCACACTAATAATAGTAACACCTGTCAGGAATAAAGGACCGATTCCCCCTGCATGGCTATATTTAGACAGTGTAATCTGATTATCTGCAACTTAAAAAACATTTCCTTCCAAAGGCCCGAATCACAGAAAACAGAATTTATTCTGTTGTATGATATAGCGTACGTATACGTTCTAAAACAAAATCTGCCTGTTTTAAATTCACTGTTTTTGTGACATCACAAAAACCGACACATTTATGTACACCTGCCCATTCAGCCTACAGCGGTTTTAGGTTCACCCATTCATAAAGTTTTACGGAGTGTTTCAGCCCAGACTGCTTTTTTTTTAAAAGAGGTGTAAATACATGGCAGACAAACAGAAGAGAGGTCATCTACATGCATCAGTCTGAAGGTCAGGCACAGAAACAAAAACTGTCTGTTTAACAAGAGGTTTGGAAACAGTCATGCAAAAAGGAACTGAATGTTTTTGGTACATATAAACACAAAATGTTGTAAGTGGACCTCATGGACGCCAAAAATAAAAATGCAAACGCAGAGTGAATCATTTTACAAGTCTGAGTTTCATTCAGGCCACTGCCGTCACTGAGTGCGTTTACATGCACTTAATAATCCGATGACTGCAGAAAGTCAAATTTTGTCAGTGATCCGATCAACGCATTTACATGCACTTGAGTAATCATATAATGGGAAACCCCAGGTCTACATGAGCCAGGCAGTAATCGGATTGGCTTTGCTTTTAAAACACTGCTCCACTTTACCTGAAAATATGAACATGCAACAATCTAGAAGATGAATATTCAAGTCCTTTATTTTGTGTTTGGTTTTAGCGTCGCTCCAAAAGTGTTTTGCTGCCATGGGCAACGCTGCTCGCTTATTTCCGTACCGCTGTCTGTTCTTGCGCATGCGCAGACGGAGAGAAATGAAAGAAATCAGAGTAAGAGTTTACATGCACTGAGAAATCTGATTACTGAGCTAAAATCCAGCTCTCTTCATCGGATTTCTAGATTGGAGTATGGTGTTTACATGACCATTTGAATAATCGGATAACTGCAGAAATCCTATTATTATTGGATTATTGAGTGCATGTAGACGCAGGGTTTCCCAATCCCTGTCCTGGGGACTCCACATGATGCACATTTGGAAAACACAAAAATGTAGTTAACAGCTCACACAACAACTTGAATTAAAAGGAAAAGAAGAAATGCCATTTTTCCCCTGGATTTTTAATGAAAAACTATTTAAAATAATATTTAAAATATATATACATATGATAAGCTGGTAAACAGTACGTCTCCTCAACAGCATAATGTAACCACAACTGAGGGAAAAAAACGAACCATTAAAACAGTTTAACGAACTGATCGTTCCTTAATGAGTACAGTGATGAAGAATTAAGACCGTGATAACATGCAGCCCTGGAAAATCTACTATTTTGACTGTAAATATGTAATTATCATGACATTCAAGAAAAAAAACTCACTGCATGATCAACAGAAAAGGCACATAAAACAAGTAAATGGTCATAGTCTTGGTCCAAATGCACATAATGCAGTTTATATATGCACAGATTTCAGAGGTGTCTGTACATTAAGAGAAGGACGTTGCAGGTGCATGTCCTCGGCGGTGTCGCCCCGGCAGCATGGGGAAGTCCTCAGGTAGGAGCGCATGCTCTCTGCAGGTGGGACAGGTGCTCTGCTCCTTCAGCCATGACTTTATACACTACACAAAAAAAAATACACTGATAAGGATTCTGGTCTGAAATCAGCTTAGCTGTATGCACATTACAAGCCATAACCCTATTACAGCATAGGCAGCATTTACAAAGGACATTGTAGAACAGAGGTCACTAATAGGCGGACCACGGTCTGAGTCCGGACCCAGACGCTGTCCTATGCGGACCTGGATTTATAACCGATAAACTATGGAGAATTATTTAATTTCGACGTGGTGGTCCTGTTTTAATCGGCGTAACTTTTCTCGCCTTTACGGTAGCTTTAGCGGCCCGGAAACTCACAGACCAAACGCATGCGTTGTAAATATCACACGTGACGCTACTCAGCCAATCAGATCTGTGCATTACGATGAGCACTGAGACTCGAGTGAGTGACGCACACACAGGGAGGGACGAGGCGAGAAACAGCAGTCGGAGAAGAAAGTGAGTCAGAGGGAAGTTATTTCACATGGCGAGCTCTAAAAAAGAGAAAACTGACAATAAATGTTGTTGAAATATGACTGAACTGTACTTGATTTGATTTGATATTCAGTTGTTGACTGTATAAGATGTTGATATACCTACTAGGCTACTTCAGTTTACAGTATATGGCACTGAATCATGATGCAAGTTAGACATTATGTTGTTCCGGACCTTCACTTGAGGAAATTTTCTCTAACAAAATTTTCTCTAAACTTACTGAATTTTAATTAAATACCCCTGTCATAAAGGATTCATTTTTAGTTCCTCATTAAGGTATTTATCCAGTTTTTCCTTGATAGATGTTCATTTAGTGGAGCAGTTTTCATTTTCAGAGATTACCTGTAAGAGTATGAAGGTGAAGAACTCATAAGTTACCCAACAAGGTAGGGGTGGACGATACAAACTTAAATTTATATTTGTATTTTATACTATTGCGATGATAACGATATATCACAATATCAAATAAGTGAAAGAATGCAACAGTAAGAACAAAAGACTGCAAAATTATAATTACTAGTACTATAATTGTTGCTACTGTTGCCATTATTATTATCATCCTCATAGTTCATTTTAAAAGAACTGAACTGAGTTCTGTTAAAGTGAACCAACTGCAAATTTCCTCAGTTCTTTCTGTGTTCACAATGTAAGTTAACTATAAAGAGGACTCAATTTTTTTTTTGGTCCTTTGAGATCTTAGACCACTTCTTGTTCAAACAACTCCATTAGAACTCGGACCCCTTTCACAGAACTCACGGTGTGCGCAGCGCTCGCAAAGTGGGCAGCATTCTCTGATAAACCTGACATTTCCAGAGAGGAACCACCAGACACACCTGCTCTCCTATTGGCCGCGCTGAAAAGACTGGCGAAGTGCACTGCGCAAAATTGGAAAAATTACTGTGTCTGCTGCAGTGGGTTCCGTTTTCGGCTGTGCTCCTCACTGAGCTCCACCCGGTGAAAAATGTCATTCATTCAGCGCGAAAGCAGCTTAAAATTGCGTTGTGTGCCCAGCGTGAGTCTTTAACAGTGTAAAACCACTTTCGCATCTTATCGCTTTAATATGTCAGGGTTACCGTCTTGTCGCAGATCATGGACAAACTTTATCCTGAGTAGAACCTTATAAATGATCCTTGGTCTATTTTTACCTGCTGAAGTGCTGTAGACTGTGGCTGTGCGTACAGTGAGCCTCGAGGTCTTCACCATAAAGCAAAGCTAAAGCAGACTGGGGCCGTTTTGTTTTCACAATGTACAGATTAATCGAACCACAAAACAAATTTTTTAGTTATTTTTGGGGCCATTTAGAGGGGTCTGAGTTCACATATGCAAAAGAAACCATGACTCAGCAGTCCGAGTCCACTTCAGACGCTGAAATGGCCCAAGTGTGGAACCTCCCTTACTGAAATATCTGATTCGTATGTCCATGGTTCTTACCTCTCTATGGAAGCTGTGGCGGCACTCCAGTACACACAGGTCCTCAGGTGCCATATCCTCATGACAGATAATACAAGGGTCCTCCATGTTCAGCTAGAATTGGAGCAGGAAAGCAAAGTCAATTCGCCATTCTTAAAAGTTGTAAGCGCTGGGCAATGTGTGAGAATAACTATGCAAGATAATCATGACACATGAGTGTGTGTAAGCATGGGTGGGCGGATGTATGTAAATAGATACAAAGTCTTACTGCTTTAGAGGTGTTGCGATGTTGAGAGGACACGGTCTTCCACACATGCGCAGGTGGAGGAGTTGGAGTAGCCCTGCAAGTGTCTGTAGAGGGAGTTGGACTGGGTACTGCACTCTCTCTCTCACCAACCAGATCCCCACTCAACGAACTGATCTGCTCCTACACACAACAGACATGGTTAAACACACACTGTTTCAGAACCACATTTAACTTTTTCTTTACTAAGTTGGTGAGTTGCAGATAGTGGCCTCCTACAAATACCCTCTGTAAAATACAGAAAACATGGAGAGGCCTTGTTCAGTTATTCTGCTTCTAAGCTGTGAAACTCAATTCCACCTATTATTAGGCACTCAAGCTCAGTGCTCACTTTTAAGAAGCATCTAAAAACATTTCTCTTTAACTCAGCATTTAAATAAAACTCTACGTCTTGTGCTTTTTATCTTTTAATTTGATATTTTTCATTTTCTTCTGATTCTAAATAAATGCTAATGATTTTTTGTATAACCAGGTTTTATCACCTGTCTATAAAGCACTTTGAGCTGCCACCGGCATGAAAGGTGCTATATAAATAAAAATGATTAAATTATTATTACACACTAATTTGGTGTATTTTGTCTTAAAAGCCAGTGATATTTTAGCTTGGAATCTTCTGGATAACGAGAAGAGAAAGAGCATAAAAAGCACGATTATATACACTCATCATTCAAGCTGAGGACTGTTTTTAAACTGTACGTATGAGGGTGCAATACACAACTGGTTCCAGTATATAGGCCTACAAAAAAAATTCTGCTGAAAATGTAGTATTTGGAACCAATTTTCAGGAGGGTGTACTACAGCGATGTACCGTATCGAAAGCAAACATCCATATTAATTAGTATTGTCTCTTCAAGTAAATATAACTTCATAACTTCAGAATACAGAACTTTCAGTAGTCCATCAATATGTATTCCAGTCATTATGTCAACAATTTAGTTTTCAACCATACAACTCATGAATATCTAGTTGAAGGACGCTTGATTTACACACAACTGGGTGATTTCGCAGGGTACATTTAATACTGTTTGGGGCTCATTACCTTCATATATACGCTAATGCCTGGCCCCGCCTATCAGTACTGCACTCCACAGCCCATACAATGAACACTTATTAATATCTTGCTGCATTAAAAATACTGATGCAGTTGATGTGTGCACTTAAATGTGTGCGTATATTATATATATTTTACAGTGCTGTCGAACATGGCTCACCCAATCAGATTTCAGGACCAGAACTCTGTTTGATAACTGATATTTTGATGGGTCATGTCCTTGATTTCACGCTTGCCTGTAATTAATTACTGACTACAGACTGGCTAAAGTGGAACAAAGTATTATCATTTGTCAGGCTTTCTCAACCACTGGGCTGAGGACCACAAGTGGGCCGCAAAGCACCCTCCAGTGGTCCTCAGGCCAGTGGCCCCAAGTGGGCTAGTGATGGTACTTTGTCATAAAAGTCAGTGGAAAAATTTTACTTAATAATGACAAAGAAATATAAAATGTTCCCAATAATAAAGTTTCTGCAATAACAATAACGGTGCACAAATCATCTATTTTTGCCCCTTGTCTCTAAAAACAAAATACACTGCCTAAAAGTTTCAACTGTCCATCCATGAGTGAAAAATCTACCTTAATTTACCACAGTTCCACGTGATCTCAGGTATAAAACAAGCTTATGTTTGCCTAATGTAATGTTTAGTGATGTACATGGTATGTTGTGCCATAGTAGAAAAGTTCTGAAGCAAAAAAATATTTTCCTGTGGGCCTCCATGCTTTCTAGTGACAGACAGGTGGACCTTGAGGTGAGAACTCCTGCACTACGTAACAATCCATGTAACCAGTTACTAAACACCTCTGACTGAAAGAGGAATACATGCTTTCAAGACAGCCACAGGAATCTTGTTGCTGCAGTCCTAAATTTTCTTTGCAGCCACCATTAAAGGAAAGAATGCAGAGTATTAATTATTCATTTGCAAAAAGAGATATAAATAGCTGCTGTCTCACTCGTGAGTTCTCCTGATGGTCAAGGATGAGCTGTGCGACTCTGTTGATCACTTCTTCGTACGTCAGCATGTTCAGACTGCCACCATTAGCGGTGCGGACCTCCTGAATGAACTTGCTCAGAACTGGCCTGAAAGAAACACAGATTTAACCAAATAACCAAATTTTCACCTCATTGAAACACAAGCTCTCCGGCTCAATTTACAGCTATATAGCAGACGACAATACTAATAAAATAATACATTACATTGTCCAAGTCCATTATTTAATACTAACTAGCTCAAAAGAGCAACAGGTGTTCACTGCCTCTCTACACACAGTCGTAAACAGTAGTGCGGCAGTCTGCCGATGTGTGTATTTGCCTCTCACCTGCTGTAGTGAGGGAACATGGAGCTGAGGCGGTCTACGATCCTATCAAACACACCAAGGTGCTGCTGAACTGGGGTTGGAGCCCTTGGTGCTTGAGCTGCGGGGGCTGCAGGGGCAGCAGGTCTCTGAGGAGCCTCTGTATGAGTGGCAGGAGCACTGGGTGCTGGAGGTGTATGTGTAGCTCTCTCAGCAGGCTGGGCCAGGGGCGTGTTCACTGCTGGGTGCGTTTGGGGTCTAATAGGATGCTGCTGTGCTCCGTATGGTGCGTGTGGCACCATGTGCCTTACAGGGAGCTGCTGTGGAACAGGCTGGTGATTGGAGGGAGGAAGCAAAAAGGCCTGCAGGAAACAGAGTTAAAAAGTCAAGCTTCACTGAAGATAAACTATAAGCAAACTCAGAACTAGCAAACCCAGGACTAAAAACCTTAAAAGCTCAGGAAACCCACATCTGTGACTGCTCCCCAATTAGGTTAACGTTCGTAGTGTAGGCATATGCATGTTACAAAGCAGAATTAATAACTTTCCAAACTAGGCAGCGCTTATCTTGAGTAAAGTCAATCTAAGACTCACAACCACCAATCATTAGGCTCATGTCAGTTGTCCTTCCTATATACACCGATCAGGCATAACATTATGACCACCTCCTTGTTTCTACACTCATTGTCCATTTTATCAGCTCCACTTACTATATAGGTGCACTTTGTAGTTCTACAGTTACAGACTGTAGTCCATCTGTTTCTCTGCATACCCTTTTACCCTGTTCTTCAGTGGTCAGGACCCCCATGGACCCTCACAGAGCAGGTACTATTTGGGTGGTGGATCATTCTCAACACTGCTGACGTGATGGTGGTGTGTTAGTGTGTGTTGTGCTGGTCTGAGTGAATCAGACACAGCAGTGCTGCTGGGGTTTTAAAACACCTCATGACACTGCTAGACTAAGAATAGTCCACCAACCAAAAATAACCAGCCAACAGCGTCCTGTGGGCAGCGTCCTGTGACCACTGATGAAGGACTGGAGAATGACCAACACAAACTGTGCAGCAGCAGATGAGCTATCGTCTCTGACTTTACATCTACAAGGTGGACTCACAAGGTTGGAGTGTCTAATAGAGTGGACAGTGAGTGGACACAGTGTTTAAAAACTCCAGCAGTACTGCTTTGTCTGATCCACTCATACCAGCATAATACAAACTGCAATAACACCACCACATCAGTGTTATTGCAGTGCTGAGAATGAACCACCACCCAAATAGTACCTGCTCTGTGAGGGTCCATGGGGGTCCTGACCACTGAAGAACAGGGTAAAAGGGGGCTAACAAAGTATGCAGAGAAACAGATGGACTACAGTCTGTAACTGTAGAACCACAAAGTACACCTATATAGTAAGTGGAGCTGATAAAATGGACAATGAGCGTAGAAACAAGGAGGTGGTCATAATGTTATGCCTGATCGGTGCAGCTTTCATCAAAAATATGCGTGCTGCTTGAGTCTCAGTCAAAGTCTGAGCTACAGAGTGAGCGGAGTCTAACCTAGCCTACTACGAAAACCACTCGTGAGCATGGGTTTCTGGCGGCAGAACTTTTGGCAGAAATCAGCATCAGATGGCTCAGAGGATTGAGAATCTGCGTCACTGCGCACAGGCCTGCTTAAGTGGAGTTTGACAAAGTGATGTCAATCAAGCATGCTCATTAGAATATCAGGAGCATGATCAGACAGTTCTCGGTCTACCATACAAAGATTGTTAAAAAATTTACACTTTATTCCCTGAGACTTCAAGTCTGATTGACAAGAACTGCACAAGTAAATATGAACACAGTCACTTGTAACCAGACCACACAGACTGCAGAGAGTCTGAGCTATTATAGAGGTAAGATCCAGCACAATGACAGTCCACTTCATCTTGACTTTTTTCCAGGCTAGTCTCTGATTACCTGCTCTTGACTCACTGCATCTCCCTGCATCTGTGCTGCTATTGTCTGTCCCTGCGCTATGATTGGCAAGGCTGGTCTTAAGATGTGGAGAGGGGGTAGAAACAAAGGGCCGAACCCTGGAGGAGGGCGCAGGATTGGTGGATGTAACCCCGGGGACAGCTCAACCCCAGGGATGGAGTAAACCACCACAGAACCTCCCTTGCCAAGTCTAATCTGCAAAATCACACATTTACCCTCACAAATACTTTATTCAATACGCAAGTCACTTCAATGAACACGACCAACATGCTGTTCTTTATCTAGAACACAAGCAACAGCTAACAAGGCCTCTTGTCTACTAGAAAGGCCTACTTTCACAGATGAGATACTGAATGAATTTAACCTGTGACACCTCACTCTTATTCTTTTATAAAACATTTTCTCTTGTGAACATGTAGGCTGCATCAAAGTGACTGCATTAGGCTGCATACTTGAGGAAACGCTCAAAATAATTTTCATAACATGTCCACTGGTGTTAATAGGGTGGAATAACAGAGTAAGTAAAGATTTGGTCGGCAGGTTGAGGTCTGTAGTAAACAGGTTGTGTGTTATTCATTTTATTTCTTATTCTGCTTCTACCACAGGCCATACTGTTGAGCATAAACAGGTCACTGTGACCCTTTAGACATTATTAATTTAACAAAAAGGATTTATGGGTTTCGGACAGGAAGATTTAAGCACAAAAAGCTGCTGAACTCTCATGGGGATTTTCAACTTGTTACAGACACATTAAATGTTCCTCAAGTCATGCATTTTCTCTTTTAGTACAAAATATTCTTTGTGGGCTAAATACTCTCATAGGGAACCTCTACAGAACTAGGCATAAATCAGTATCTGTCATTTGGTATTCTTACCGGTACAGGAGGAGGAGCAGGAGCACTGGGAACCACAAGCAGAGGAAGAGAACACAGTCTGGTGCCCTTTTCGACTTGCTCAATCTGTTCTTCATATTGTGCCTACAGATACACAAACATACACACTTCATGATGTGCCCCAGATAGCTTTGCGTGGAGAGCGGTTTACCCATTTATCCACTGGAAACTGCAGATCAGAATGATACCTTTAATCATTTCATACCAGAAACCACTAAAGCTAGCTTATCAGATTTTTTAGGTCAAGCTCTTATATGTGAGCAAGTGAAACTACCCAAGCTCAGCTACCATCTGCAAAAAGAAGATTCACCAGGATTTGAAGGCAAAACGACTGCTAAACCAGTCCTTAATCAAAAGTTTAACTCTGTAAGTTACTGGATTTCAATCTGACCTCTGTCCCAGCAATCTTCTGCTCAGCTTCCTGCACACATGACTTCCAGGCCTCGATTGTTGAGAACAGGGCTCCAGACGGATACCTATTACAAAGAGGGGCGAGCTCGTCAGAGAAGCTGAAGATACACTAAATGAAGCCACAATGTTTCCCAAAGGTCTGAGACAAACCTGGAGGTAGCACCATAAGGGGTAGATATATTTGAATGTATGTACATCCAAAATTAACATTACCTTCACAATGAAATAAGATAAACAAAAGCTTATTTTAAAAGGGAAGGTTCAGATCATGGAGATGACCAGAGAAAGAGTGATACCTTGTGTTAATGACACTGTGTGTTGTGTTTATAACAACATGAAATATTTTCTCGCTAGAATTTGTTCAAATGGAAATCAAGATATTGTTTAAAATGAAAAATACTGTATGCTGTTAAGTAACAAAAAAAACCCAGCAGTAACAGGCAGTATGAAAATGATTTTTTGTTAATAATCACAAACAATTCTACTAAAGTAATGTAGTTTGCTTACAGCAGACTATAGCTGGCAAACCTTATTCCATGGACAGCACAAAGGACTTTAAAACAGAATTCCATTCCTTTACAACCCTGTGTTCAATCGTGGGTCAACCAATCAGATTTTAAAACCATCACTACAAGTTTTTTAATGGCACTTTTCTAGTAGGACCTTGAGTGTGGCTGCAATATAGGCTCTAACTGGGCTTCGAGACATTGTAGAGCAGTCATGGTTCCAAAAGACTAGCACAGTATAACGGATAAGATCCTCCTTTTTTTTTTTCTCTGCATTGCATCTGTACAGTTGCCATATGTATCTGATATACACCGATCAGGCATAGCATTATGACCACCTCCTTGTTTCTACGCTCATTGTCCATTTTATCAGCTCCACTTACTATATAGGTGCACTTTGTAGTTCTACAGTTACAGACTGTAGTCCATCTGTTTCTCTGCATACTTTGTTAGCCCCCTTTTACCCTGTTCTTCAGTGGTCAGGACCCCCATGGACCCTCACAGAGCAGGTACTATTTGGGTGGTAAACACCTCAGTGTCACTGCTGGACTAAGAATAGTCCACCAACCAAAAATATCCAGCCAACAGCATCCTGTGGGCAGCATCATGTGACCACTGATGAAGGACTAGAGGATGACCAACACAAACTGTGCAGCAGCAGATGAGCTATCGTCTCTGACTTTACATCTACAAGGTGGACTAAGAAGGTAGGAGTGTCTAATAGAGTGGACAGTGAGTGGACACAGTGTTTAAAAACTCCAGCAGCACTGCTGTGTCTGATCCACTCAGACCAGCGCAACACACACTAACACACCACCACCACGTCAGTATTACTGCAGTGCTGAGAATAACCACCACCCAAATAGTACCTGCTCTGTGAGGGTCCATGGGGGTCCTGACCACTGAAGAACAGGGTAAAAGGGGGCTAACAAAGTATGCAGAGAAACAGATGGACTACAGTCTGTAACTGTAGAACTACAAAGTGCACCTATATAGTAAGTGGAGCTGATAAAATGGACAGTGAGTGTAGAAACAAGGTCATAATGTTATGCCTGATCGGTGTATATCCCTCAGTCTTTTGCTGTTCAAAATGGATTTGTTTATCCACCAGAACAGCAATAAGCACCTGCATTTCTTCATGGAGACACAAAACAACCAGCTGGTTTAGTTTCAGCATGTTTGACACCACAGTGTTCTACATTTTACAGAACTCCCTCCCCCAGTGCGGAAGCAGACGGCTTAAGTTGTGCTGCTTTGTATTCGACCTTACCTGGTTGATACCTCTGTCAAGTTCTGTAGAATGGCCTTCCCGTTTGACACGCACTTTCTCAACCCACGCAAGCCATGTTCTCGCCTGTTCTGCAGGACAAACAGCTAAAAACATACAAAACGCAGAGCAGGGAAGTGATGACATTGTAACTAGTATGTATAACTCTATACCGAAGCTTTAAGACTGCTTCAATATATTTAATACATCTGTGCCTAACAGCTGATAGTTCTACTTTTATTTTAGTAGATATTTTAACGTCTATTTGTACATCTGAAATAACAGAAGCTCTAAAAGACAAGTAATCAGACCTTTGCAATACCAAACACATTTACATACATCCCAGACACTGTAGAACTGAAATAAACCGGAAATGGGCTCCTACCTGTGCTGCTAGTGATCGAAGGGTTGCTTTGGCACACAGATCTCTGCAACTTTTAATCTCGTCCTCTAGACTCATCTTCTCAGCCGCAGACTGATTACTGTCGGATTGCACAATCACAATTCAGAAACTCTTTCTTCAAAACTTAGTTACGCACAACAACGTTGAGTAGTGATAAACACAAGTTTTCCATGTTTCTCACAGCAGAGTAGATGAACGTGTATCACATGTAAAAGCACCTACAATCCAAAATTAAGTTTGTCGAGAGAGGAAAAAAAAAAAATGATCCAAGAAGCCGCCTGGAAGGTTCATCCTTCAGACCACACCTCATGAAATGCCAGAATGTGTCACATGGTGGCAGTGTACAATACGCATAACAGTACTTGCCTTTTCTCAAGGAAATGGTTCAGCACTGTCTGATACTCCACGTTCTTTTCCTGGATTTGCTTAGAGTAACTAGGGAACAAAGAAACAGACATAATAATTAGAGTGCATAAAGAATGATCTGGCAGGAAAGAATGTGCCACTAGATCTTACAAACACGTCGGATCATTCGAATCCATGACTCGGGAAGCTTTGAACAGCTTTGCACATTATCAGCCATCCTAGTTTCAACTTTCACATAAAGACCACTATATTTTTTAGCTTTCCCCCCCCCATGGTCTCACCTCTCCCGCAAATCCTCCAACTCTTTGATTTCCCCCTTCAATGCTTTTAGCGTCTCTTGGTTGTCTCTCTTCTCCTGCTGATCTTTTCGGACCTCCTCCTCAAGCTTTTGTTGGAGTAAACCATGTTCTGTGTGGGTGATCTGCAGTTCGTAACAACACAGTCAAAATGAGGTTTGATGTTCAGAACACGGAGGACCCCAAATATAAAGCATTATAGGATTTTCTACCTTTATTATTTGTTGGATTTGTTCCACTTCAGCCTGAAGTTCAGAAGCTTCTTCTTTTCTTTTCTTTTGGAGAGACTCGTGTGTGTCCTTCCTCTCCGAAATGTGTTTTTCAAATTTTACGCAGTTTTTTTCTTTCTGGGTCATATCGCCCTGAAAGAGACGGGGAGTGTGAAGGTTTATAATGATAAACTTTGTTATGGTTCCCCCACAAAAGACAAAACAAGTTAAGGTCAAATTCCATTATGGGGTGTTTTTGCTGTAAAAAAGGTTTTAGGCTGTGCCTAGAGGGAAAGTCAGGATCAACAAATTGACATAGGTGACAACACTGGCTTATATGCTTTAGTTTTTACTCACTTTATTCTTCTCAAACAAAGCATATGGTTCTGTATTAACAGCAACATCGTCACTGGTCTCTCTGTTATATCCTAGAGTCTGGAGGGAAAGAAGACTACAATTAGCCTTGATGAGAAATTTCAAAAGTAATTTTGAATAAAGAGTGTCACCTGAAAACCCTACCTGAACTGACACTGTTTTAGTCTCATGTCTTGTAGCTTCGTTAGAAATAATCCCTGGAAGGGGTTCTCCTCCTCCTTGCTCATTGTATGGGTTGACGTTGTTAATATCCAAGGCGAGATCCTTCAGAGGTGTGTCGAGGCGATAATCAGGATACCCTGCTTCTCGTGCTTTAAGATTTTCAAAAACATTTGTATCTTGTGGTAAAAACGTATAATCAAAATTATGAGATAATTCAGAACCAAAAGCACGTGGATCGGGGAGCGTGGGACAAGGTCCAGGAAGAGAGTTATGTGGCTCAGAGAGAGCTGAAGCCAGGCAATCTCTGTCAGCAAGAAGAGGAGGAACATCATAAGATGCATTATTGTCACTCAGACTAAAATGCTCATACTGGGGCATAAACTCTTTGGCTGTGGGGTTGAGATGAGAGGATCCTCTGGATTCCAAATCCTCCCGGTTGTAAGATTGAGGGCGATAGTCTAAGATTCCAGCTGCATCGTCAGCAACAGTGTGCTGCAAAGACACCGCATGCGTCATCAGTCCGATAAGATTTTCAGTCATAACAAATCGGAGAGATTCGAGCAGAAAACCTTCGAGCCCTCCAGCCGCCTCGATCATTCGCTGAGCCTCGATGGGAAAGTTCTCCAGCTCGCCCACCAGCAGCGGGTCTGATGCCTCTAGGGGACCATGCTCCTCCAAAATCTGGGCAAAGTAACTGAGAGGAAAAGAGAGGGAGAACTAGAGATGAGGGAACAGAGGTGATTGTAATGGGAGAACTCAAGTAGTTTTTTGAAGCGCCAGAATGTAACTACTGCACCATTTAAGGTGGAACAGGAAAATTTTAATGAGAAGCTGGAGAATAGCTGACCAGCTTCGTATCACCAAAGAACTAGGGGTGGGCGATAATAAATAATTGTCCCTCTATAAAGCTATGATGCCCTAAATGTAACTAAAGCCCAGCAGTGAGGTTGCTGAACTTTACCGTCCTCTACTATCACTGCAGACTGGCAGGGTCGCCGAAAGAGCAGCGCTAGCAGCCTGTTAATAAATTGATGTCCTTTTTATTTGAGGGTCCCATTTCACAGGGAAGATTTTAAACACTACCCCTTGTAACTCCGAGGGGCAAGGGGACACTCGAAAACAAAGGGTAGGGGTAAAAATAAGAGATGGGATTGGGCCTTAGTAGAGATCATTTCTCTAGATACGTACTCATATAAAGTCTCTTTAGTAGGGTCTGGGTTGTTGTCCAAAAATCTCTTATAGTTGTTTAGCCGTCCTGAGCCAACATATTGCCCCTCAAACTCGGCTACTCGCTCCCTCAAGCGATCTGGAATGCTGAAAGGATCAGTGCCATCGAGCAGCATCCTGTGCAGATGGGTTCAAGGGAGAGTTAACAACCACAATACAGTTTCCCGTAAATTCTATACTGGTGGTTAAACAAACAAAAATAAAATTACAATGAATCTTCTTCAGAGAAAATATCTTCATCCTCTTCATCTCTTAGGACTCCACTTCTCCTCCCCGACAGAACAATAACAGACTGAGAAACACATACACAAAACAGGTTCAACATGCTTAAAACGTCTCTGGAAAGAGCTAACCAGGTTCATTACTGCTGTAGGTTACTTCACATACCTTTGGTTCTTTCTGCTTCTTTTTTCGACTTTTGTTTTTACTCTTATAAACTGAACTCTGGAAAATCAAACATTTACGTGAGAATGTGAAACAGTACTATACATTATAAAGTCGGTATTCATATTTCTAAGCCAGCCCGCGACCCAGAAGGATAAGCGGTTTAGAAAACGTGTGTGTGTATTTCTAAGACAGTACTCACTAACTGGTCCTCATTCTCTCTCTTCTTAATCACTAAACATATACCATCTGAAACAGAGGAGAGAGTTATTGCACTCAAATCTAGGGCATTATTTCCAGTGTTTTCTGTCAATTGTCCCTCTAGTGTACCCACCCATTTCAAAATATTCATCAAGGATAGTGAAGCAGGTAGGGTAGCGCTCTCGGTGCTCCTCTAGAGTCCAAATGAACAGACGCATTTCCTGCGGCGGGGCCTGTCTGAGGTAGTCCGTTACAGTAAAGCCTGTGCCGTCAAACAGTTCTGGTATGGTTCCAAACTTTTCAATCAGGACATCTTGTAGTGGAGAGAATGTGAGTAGAGAAGATAGATCCAGCTCATCCAGACGATCACCGTAGCAATCAATAAACTTCTCTGCAGCTTTTAGACCTGTGTAACAGACAAAGAGAAAGACATTAAATGTAGTTTATTAATGACAAAGCAAAGAAGTGACATATTATCCATTACACATTTATATGCATCAGAATAAAGTGACAACCTGTGTTGCATTTATTTACAAGCATCTCTGACAAGAAAAACATAAGAAGCAAAAAAAAAAAAATGTTCTGAGCTTTATGTAACAAGATTTTATTCCAATAATTCTTGGACTATTTCCATCTGTCTTTTAGTTTAAAATTGCTCATACGATGTAAAGAACAGCTGGTATTTTCGAATGGTATTTTATAAAGAAAGGTTGGGATATGACTAACGATATAAAAAGAAAAAAAAAAACTGGTGTCCTAAATCAGCAAATCACGCACTAGATTCATAAAATACCTGAACAACAAATGCAAATCTGAACACTGATAAAACGAATGCTTTAAAGGACCCTACCGGCTCTGTCAAGCTGCTGAGCCCAGTCGTGAAGTTTGGGTTTGATGTTTAGGCAGTCACTGAGATTTTGAACGAAAAGTCGGACCCAGACACGGTTGTTTCTCTCCAACAGCAGATCCACCAGCTCCCTCAAAACTTTAGGCGCAGTACGGTTCTTTAAGATGCTTTCATGACCGTTAGCCTCATCCAGCTCCATCCACGGCCTCAGGTTCACCAACATGGTAGAAATATTGTGTATTTCATCGTTAAAAAGTTCTCTGCTTTCATAAATTTGATGTAAAACACGATCTCTGTATATAGTGTAATCCTTCGGCAATGCTGAAGGGAAGGAGAAAGGGAGAAAGACAGAGAGAGGCAGAAATCTGTAAGTTGCACCCTTAACACCTGTACATAAATACCTAATACACACCATTAGTATTTTACAGACCAAGTCTACAATAATAAGACTACCCTTCAACAGGGGAGCCCAATCCTGGTCCTGGAGATCCACCACCCTGGAGAGTTTAGCTCTAAGTCTAATCTAACATACCTGATCCAGTTAATGAAGGCCTTCAGATTCATATTAGAGCCAGGTGTGCTGGATCTGAACTCCCCAGGGTGGTAGATGCTCTATAGCAACCAAGTTTATGTTCAGTACCTTTCTGTGTTTCTCTATGGTCTTTTCCCTCCTCGGACGATACGCTGTTCATCTCATCCTTGCTGACAGATGCAGCTGCTCTCTGTTGTTTCCTCTTCAGCTTTCGATCCTCTTTAGATTTCAACTTCTTAAGACTGTCAAAAAAATAACGAATACAGTTATATTAGAGACCCACCGCAGCGACAAATTCGCTGACGCTCAAAATATGCATAAGGAATTCCATGTAAATTGAAAAGGACTTAAATAAAGGAATATTTTCATGTGCACTTCTATAATCCACACACTTACTTCATTAGCAATTATAATAACATCATGATTAGCAAAGACCAACTGTTTAAGACCTCATTATCTTTCAGAGAGTCAAAGCTCACGCAACCGGGATATTTTGCCACGACAGAGCGTCAAGCTAATTCTTTTAAACATTACGTTTCTTCTGTTCAGCATATCCTTAAGCTATAGCCTTGAAAGGTGTTTGTTGTCTAACGCTTTGCCTGCGTAGTTTGTCCCACAAAAAAAAAAAAAAAGCTTAAAAAGCTTCTCATCTCTCATTATTTTTAGGCTGAAAGGCTTTATCTAGGCTGTGAAAGCTTCACAGCCGGGGTTGCCACAGCAGCACGATGGTGCTGTCGTAAACGGTGCAAGAGATTTGAAGCGCTTCCACTTTTGGATACAACCTGATTACGGCTTTCTCTACAAATGACATGGTTCTGCTATTCATCTTTCAAATCTGAACCATATCCAAATAAGTGAACAACTGTTTCTTTTTTTTTTAAACAAACTAGGCCTTCTTCAGCAGTGCAGACGGTGCAGGGCAACTTGTGAGCGAGTGGGGCCAGAGGGAGAGTGAGGGCGGGGCTGCATGGAGAGTGTGAGAGGAGAGATGCAAACACTGGCACAACTATATAGAAGAAACAGGTTATGTATTTTAACGCAAGATCAAGCTACATCGATCAGGCATAACATTAATGACCACCTCCTTGTTTTTATGCTCATTGTCCATTTTATCAGCTCCACTTACTATATAGGTGCACTTTGTAGTTCTACAGTTACAGACTGTAGTCCATCTGTTTCTCTGCATACTTTGTTAGCCCCCTTTCACCCTGTTCTTCAGTGGTCAGGACCCCCATGGACCCTCACAGAGCAGGTACTATTTGGGTGTTGGATCATTCTCAGCACTGCAGTAACACTGACGTGGTGGTGGTGTGTTATCAGACGCAGCAGTGCTGCTGGAGTTTTTAAACACTGTGTCCACTCACTGTCCACAGGACGCTGTTGGCTGGATATTTTTGGTTGGTGGTGCAGCAGTGACACTGAGGTGTTTAAAAACTCCAGCAGCACTGCTGTGCCTGATCCACTCAGACCAGCACAACACACACTAACACACCACCACCAGGTCAGTGTCACTGCAGTGCTGAGAATGATCCAACACCCAAATGGTACCTGCTCTGTGAGGGTCCATGGGGGTCCTGACCACTGAAGAACAGGGTAAAAGGGGACTAACAAAGTATGCAGAGAAACAGATGGACTACAGTCTGTAACTGTAGAACTACAAAGTGCACCTATATAGTAAGTGGAGCTGATAAAATGGACAATGAGCGCAGAAACAAGGGGGTGGTCATAATGTTATGCCTGATCGGTGTAGCTTGATCTTGCGTTAAAATACATAACCTGTTTCTTCTATATAGTTGTGCCAGTGTTTGTGGTCATAATGTTATGCCTGATCAGTGTATATCAACATAAATGGTATTATCTCATCCAATTTATGGTTTGAAAATATATTAATATACTGTAAAAAGTTGATATACCATGCAGCCTTATTTTAGGTTGTTTTAACCTCTGCTATATCCCTTTATCAACAGCTCCGGCACTACCAGTAAAAATGAAAAGCACCAGTAAGTAGGGCTACCGGAACAAGCTGCACTCTTTCGGCCTCTTGCGTACAGATCAAAAATGGTCCTCAAACTGAATGAAAAGTTCAAAGTACAGTCTATTCGAAAAGCAATTGTTTATGGCAAATTAAATTAAAGGAAAAGATTTGGCTGAACATTTACGTGTAGTTTCATTTTGAAAGATCCATCTGTGAATGAAAATGTGCCTCTTTGCACCGACCAAACACAGACATGGTCACTTAATGTGCTCGTCTGTGAATTTTGTCCAGCCTCCATGTGTGACACAGTTAGTAATGCCTCCGCACAACGTCTGTACTTGTTCATTTTCGCCGCAATCATGTCACACTGTTTGTCAAAGGCAGGCATACATAGTCACCGCAGAAAGTATACTGAGGCTTTCACTCACAGGTTGCAGCTTACCTTGTACATTTCTGTTTCACTCTCGATCTTCCAGGAGTTTTGCTTTTAGGAATAGACGATTCAAACTGAACAGTAAAGAGAGAAAGTTAATTACACAAACTGAAAGGCTGAGGCACGCTACCTTATGTTGTTGTGTTTCTGGTGTTTCTGGTGAAGAACCCTACCTTACACTTAATAAGTCCAGTTGAGCCAAATATTACAATGTGACAGATTCTACCAGTACAGTCAGGAGTAAAACACAAATCCTGAAGAAAGTCCTGGGAGGAAAAAACAGCACAAACTCAGCATTTCTTCATGTGTTCATCATGCATTGCTCACCGTGTCCATCTCTGCGTCTTACCTTATCGTTCTTATCAGCGAATGAAGCAGCTTTGAGTTTTTTCCAGCAACTGATATGAAACTCCACCTTGCAGCTCTGACAGCATGAAATTTGAATGAAACCCTGAAACAACAAAACGGTTAGAAGAAATGCTCCTTCATCACAATCTGCTTATCGTAACTGAACATCTGCGACTTAAAATATTTATTTCATAAAGTGCAATTAGACAGACAGTGCAGTGGACACACAACACATCTGCTTAATCTGTCAGTTAAAAGAGGAGTGGATTTCTGTAAAGGTTGAAAACTGAGAGGAATACTAGGCTTGTCTTACACCGATCATAACCATAAATAACACACTGAAAGTTTATAATACTCTGAAGTTTTCTGAAGCCTTGGGTACATCACACAACTTTTAAAGTCTTCACAGATTATAAAAAAGACTGGGCATCTCACACTATCTGACTGGTTTTGCAGAATTCTTTGGCCGATTGAAATACTGGGGATCACACACTTCTCGACATTTAAGCTGTTGCTAAACCAAATGGAAATCACTGAACTCACGCAAACCCACGCATTGTCCTGTTACTAGGAGACACAAATAAACAAACCTGGAGCTGCTGTTGCTGTTTTGTCTGCCGTTTGTGCTGATACAGTAAAGAAGCAGCAGGTAAATATGTTTAAGTGAGGCCGTGCCTTAAACTCAACTCATTAAAAAGCTTCGAGTCTGTTCAGATTGAGTCAGTATACACTACTAGATTATGCTCAGAGTCGGGGGGAAAAAATTTAATATGTTTGATTTAATAATATGATCATTTTAGAGTTTATGTATATTTGAAACTTAAAAAAAAAAAACAAAACAAATAGATCACATTTTTACATTCATGACCATCACTTAATCATGTTTACCTACTGCTTCTTTACTGTGCCAAAGCAATGTTTGTTTGTTTGGTTCTCCTAGTAACAGGAGAACGCGAGTTCAGTGAGCGAGTTCCGTTCAGTTTAGTAGCAGCTTAAAAGTTGAGTAGTGTTTGATCCCCAATATTTCAGTCGGCCAAAAATCTGCCAAAACCAGTCGGATAGTGTGAGACGACCAGTCTTTTTATCACCTGTTAAGACTTTAAAAGGCGAACCCAAGGCTTAACACATCTTTTGCTGGTTGCTAGGCTGTGTACAGTTTACAGCTTGTCATTTCTTAACATATATACAAACAAACCAGAACACAATTTAATAAAGCAAAGCCAGCTGGATGTCTCAGCTAGTGTGGCTAATCAAAGAAATCAGTGGCCAACTCCTCAAAATGAAACAATTTTGAAATGTGACAGTACACCAGTAGGCCCTACAGGACAATTATCATGCATTTTTCGATCCATGTCCAAGCAAACTGTGGTATACCATCTTCAGTAGGGATGCATCAATACTGATACAGGAATCGGGTATTCATCTGGTACTGTACACATTTACAGCAAAAAAATGCATTGATACCAACATCCAGTACAACACAATACCTAGTGTACACTACCACACTAATGAGCAATCAACTCAAGCTGGCAGCAAATGAGGGTCTGCTCAACTATTCAATTCTAACTAAGTTATGGCACTAGCAGCACCAGCAAGTACCAAGAAACACGTATTCATACTTAGTCTGAAAATGACGATGCATCTCTAATCTTTAGTAACTATAGAGCACTGCTGCTTACCTTAAAGTCCGGGTCAGTGAAGTAGATCTCAACGGCATGACCCAGACAATGTTGATGTCGGCAAATCGCATCTGGCTTAGGTGCAAATTTACACAGTTCAATAAAACTCATAAGCTGTTCCTGTAGAGAAACAATACCAAGAGAAGGAAATAAGTGCTATAATTTGAAAACCAGGGCTGGCGAGGAGGCGATGTAATCAGAAATTGGCAAGGTAACAAGTAAAAGGTGAAAATCACATGTTGAGAAAGAGATTTAATAAAGACTTAATTTTTTTTTTTATTTTACACAAATTCAATATTCACATTTAATGTTTCATCTTTTACTGACCAAAGTAAAAGATGAAGGTTTCCCAGATTGTATCGTACCACCTAAGAAAAACACGAGACCTCTCCTATGGTACACACAAGTTATAAACTAATCAAAATAATACTTCATTTGTTACCCACTGAACACATTTACTGTTGAAGTGCAGAGTGTTCTCCATTCTTTTTTTTTAATAGATGTAAAAGCCTCTCAGACCTTAAATGCAACTCATACACTCCTCCTTTCAAGACTTCACAAGAACGTACTTTTAGTGCTCAAATTGTTTATACCCATTTAACAAAAGGGAGGAAGCCATATGTTCGCATGCATGGCAATAAATCAGTAACTAGATCAGTAAACCTTATCTTTTTCAACCCTTGTGTGGTGTCGATGTGTTTGTTACTCAGTGGTCTGCTGGACCCACCACATTTTTTTGGACCCACCACATTATCGTTTTTTTAAAACCATACAGCCAAAACAATTTATGTAAAAATACCAGATGTTTAAAATATCAAAAGTGGCCAGTGTAGGGTTCTCCTTTAGCAGCTGTAGCCAGTCAGCAGCCTGTCCATGTTGTCCACCCTCACACACACACACAAACAGCAGGCCATGTAGGAGGAGAACAGAGTGAAGGACACAGCACCTCCACACTTTTATTCTCCACAGGTTCACCCAACACCACATGTGTAATATAAATGTGTAGGGGGTGAACAGCGTGAAGGCCAAAGAATCTGGGGTTGAAATAATAATAAATCACATCATTTTTTATTTTGGTAAACATTAAAAATGGGTCCCACAGACCTGAACACCACACAAGGGTTAATACATTGACCAGTCCTAAAGGACACTAATGAATTTGGTTCAAAAAGTACATCAAATGCCTAAAGCAACTGTACAGAACCTCACCTTTAAATACTCCGGTCTGGTCTCTTCAACCGTTACTTTAGTGGTGGGCCAGGTGAGTTTTCCAGGTGTGATCTGCCTTTGCACCATCAAAAGAGCATTCGAAAATTCTTCTAAGGCTTTGGAAAATCTGGAAAGAAGAACAATGGTTTACAAGAACAAGAGGAACGTGTGTAGACATGCAGAGAACTGAGTAGAGATTCCACTCTTGGATTCGTCACACACTGCACTCACCTGTTCTCCTTAAGAAAAACCTTTCCAATTCCGAAGTGAACCAAACACTGAAATTTTCTGTCCTCTGATGAGCTTAATTTAGCAAACTGCCTCTGAGCTTCTGCCAATTCCTTGATGAAATAAAAAAATATTAACTGTAAGGATTTTTTTTAGTGTATAAGCACAAATTTAAAAGTAGATTACAGTTGCAGGTCAGCAAATATCGTCTACAAATATCTAAGTTAGAGAACAACGTCTGTTTTCATTTACCTCTGGTTGGCCAATTTCCACCAGAGCCATAGCATAGCCATAGAGCAGCAGGGATTTGTCCAGCTCAGTTATGCCAAGGTCCTGTGTGTGGGAACAAAAAGAGCAGGCTGAGTAGACAAATAACTGCAATCTTTAAAGTAATATACTAAAAAACAATTTAACTTGCTAGAACACCACTGACTGAACAACCCCAAAACAGACCTGGAGTGAGAATGGTAGCAGTAAAGTAGTCGAATGTTATTAGGCGAGTGTTATTAAGAGACTACGAGAAAGTGTTTGAGAACACGTACGTCAGAAGCTCGGCTATCTGGATTATCTAGAGCAGGGGTGTCAAACTCAACCAATAAAGAGGCCATATTTAAAAATCTCAACAAATCTGTGGGCCAGAGAAAAAAAGTTTTTATTTCATTTTTAATTGTTGTAAATGTTGTGCTATAACCCAAAGTGGCCATTGTTTATTCAAATTATGCAAAGAACTTCAGCAGTAAAACACAAACATGTATAATAGACCTTGAAATATTAAATGAACATTTGAAAAAAATGTAAATGTCCCCAGGAGCTCAGTCTTTCAAACCAACCTATTTGCTTGAACTACACACCTGGCATCCTTTCTTTGCTGCAAGTTCATTAATATTTGTGCTGAGCTGACAGAGAACAGAATAGAACTCAGAACCATTAGCCAACTGTGTTTGCACACAGAGGAATTAGAGCTCCGCGTTTAACCCATCCGTACAGTGAAACACCCACATACATGCATACTAGTGAACACACACTAGGGGGCAGTGAGCACACTTGCCCGGAGCGGCGGGCAGCCCTATCCACGGCACCTGGGGAGCAGTTGGGGGTTAGGTGCCTTGCTCAAGGGCACTTCAGTCACGTACTGTCGGCTCAGGGGATTGAACCGGCGACCTTCCGGTCACAAGGCTGGTTCCCTAACCTCCAGCCCACGGTAGAAGTTTTGTTCATTGATTTCGGCTCTGCTTTTAACACTATGTAGGCTCACTTACTGGTAAGTAGGACATTAGATTTAGGGGTCAACAATTGTTTAATTGCTTGGATAAATGATTTTCTGTTGAATAGCAGTCAGCAAGTTAGGCTTACGTCTGTGACATCTGTCAGAATGACGAGTGCAGGTGTCCCACAAGGCTGTTTGTTATCACCTGTTTTGTATATGATGAATGTCAGGCTTCTCAAATCAAAACATTTTTTAAACATGCGCATGACAGCATTAGTGGGGTTTTTAAAGCCAAATGCTGATTCTTTAAAGTGTTTTGAGAGAGAGGCCATACATTTTATTCAGTGGTTTACAGATCATTATCCTCAAGTCAGTGTAAAGAAAACACTGATCATTGATTTTAAGTGTACCAAGACTTCAGTTCCTCTTTCTGAAACTGACTGAATTAGTAGAGTCTCCACTGTAAATATCTTTTGCAGATCGTGTGCAGCAGAGAATGTTTTTAACGTCAGTTAAATGGGTATAATGTCCCATTGTTGTGTTTTGCAAATTTTTTTTTTTGCATTTGTTCTAAATCTGTTCTCCAGAGTGTCCTGACTTTTGGTCAGAACATTCTGTGCAGCCTGACCTGTCCAAGACCAAAACAAACTCCAGAAATTAATCAAGACAGCAAGTAGGATTATAGGAATTGAGCAGTTGTCAGCTCTCTCAGCCCTACACTGACCTCTTATATAAGCTTCAATGTACTATTAAAGATCCCACCCATCCTTTACATACGAAATTTAAAGGTGGGGTAGAATTAAACAACCAGGCTTTTGTTGCTGCTGTTATAAATATATTCAACAGTCAAATGGAGCATGTTTTGGAGTTTTAGTTGTTAGGCTACATTTTTGTGGTCAAAGATGTTTTTGTCTTTTTTTGTTGTATTTTTCTTTTTTGTACACATTGTAGGGGGGTCACTTCCTGCAGCAGTACTGTTTTTAGTATTGGTGTTGTTGGACTGTGGTTGACTGTTTAACTTTAGGTCATCTTAGAATGTTCTGTGCTTTTCTATGCCTCCCTATCACGGGTATACAACCTTGATACTTAGGTGGGGGAGACTGTTTGGGCCAGCTGAGGGTGATAAGACTCTGTACAATCGCTGTTCGCTCCTGCTTTCCTGTGAGAGAAGGAACCAACCGGTGACCTGTGAAGATAGCTGTGTGAAGACGTCTTGAAATAGGTCTAACCTTCTCCTCAAATGGGCATGGCTCTGTCTAGTTTATTCTCAACAACCTCAACATTGACTTCATAAGTCAACAGCGTGTGGATGTGTATGTTTCTGCACTAATAACCACCTACCTATATGTATAAAAAAAACGACCTTGGCATCCACAAATTTTTTTTCACTTGTTTGCTTTTTGACAGCATGTTTTGCAGCAGTAACAAGAAGATCTACGCCAGAGCTAAAGTATCTCCACATATCCCCTTACCCTCATTACCCTCTCTAATCCAGAGGTGCAGAACTAAATAGTTCTAGTTGCCTCGAATTGTCTACTGTGCAAAAATAGATAAATCAATAAATAAATAAAATAGTCTTGAAAGGCACAGTATGCAGCCGCTGGCAGTCCAAAAAGAGTTTGGAGACTGGCTGCTCTATGGAGCTCTCAGTGGCTCTACAACACTTCAAATAAACTCTGAGACGGACTAATGTTTGTGAGGCTATGCTTAAAGCTTTACCTTTCTTTCTAATTGTCAGACGCCTCAGCTAATCTAAACAGGTTCTATAAATGCAGAAATATGTAACATAAGAGTATCATAACGCAGTTACCTTCTATAATTACAATGAAATAATAAATTAAAAATAAAAAATTATTCAATGACGTAGCCTGACAGTTGTATTGGCAATAAGTCAATTTTCTCTCTTCACCTCTAACAAAAAAAAATCTAAAATATGTGTTTTGGTATGTATGAGGATGTATATGGTGAACACCTTGGTCCCAGTTGAGTCCAGAATGCTGAGGGACAGAGAGAACGCTTGCTCTGCATTGCGACAACGCTGGTCAGCGAGTGCTGTATGAGCGTCCAGCACTGCTGCACAGAACTGCTCCTTACTGCCTGGTCCACTGCTGCTGTGCTGAGGCTAAACAAACACACACACACACACACACACACACACACACACACACACACACTATATTACAACACTGCAAAATACTACATGTATACAGAAAATATGCACCAACAGATGATATTGTGAAAACATACCTTTTTTTGGTTTTTAATGTACACCGTTCATTTTTCTTTTCTAAGGCTAAGGGTTATGAAAGGCAATGGAAGAAAGACTAATAAACTGTTTAATCAATAACCAAATTCTGTTTAGGACAGAATTTTACAAGGAAGACTCACCATCAATAAAATCAAGTTAGTCTGTTTGCACTTATAATAGGTGCACATCACTCATCTTGAGATGCAGCAAAACTGCTTAACACAATCACCACATTTGTGCCAAGTAACTTTGGGATAAAATCAGTAGGAACTGTTTTTAAAGTGTTTTGCTCGATTCAGCACTAACACTGTCCACACACACAATATAAAACAATAGTCTTAAAGCCCTCGTCAACAGTGTTTCAGTGTTTTTTTTTTTTTTAAGTAAAGGTGTACTGCGTGAAAAAGCATTTACCAGTGTTCTATACAAAAAACACACATAAATTATTAATACTATTTAATACTAAATAAACACCCAGAATTTCAAGCTGCTGCCTGCTGAACTGTGTGGGCGAGTCAGAACACAAAATGATTTAGAGTGGCGTCTCCCAGGCTAACAAACAATCCGGCTCCAGTGGCAGTGCAGAGCAACACTCCCAATCGGTGTGATTTAGTCCTACACAATTGAGCCTCACCTGCACGAAAACAGATCACTTTACTCTACTCAACCAGTCTCTGAATGCTGTCTAATGGTCATTTTAGAGACTAGGGCTGATTGTTTATCATAATCGCAATTTAAGACAATTTAAGTGCAATTTTCAAATTTCAAGAGCTGCATTTTTTTTTTTAATTATAGCCTACACTCTTAAAAAATATGGTTATTCAAGGTTCTTAAAGTAAAGAAACTTATTCTATATAGAACCATGAATAATCAAACCCATTTGCATGCATAAAAAGTTCTCTGCATAGTGAAATGGTTCTTCAGATTGGAGAATGTGCGGTTCTGCATATCATCAAAAAGGGTTCTGGTATTGTTATTTTGTTGCTTCTTGATATCAAGCTTACAACAACGGAAGAACATTTAGTCCTATAGAGAACTCTTTTCAAAAAGGTTCCATTTAGAACCATTTACAACACAACACATTCTCCATCAATCTGAAGTACTGTTTTACCATGCAGAGAACTTCATAAAATCTCAATCTCAATTTTAAATAAATAAATAAATAAATAAATAAATAAATAAATAACAAATTAAATTGCAGTCGCAATATTTGACGGAAAAAATCGCAATTAGATATTTTCCACAAATCATTCAGCCCTATTAGAGACCTAATTACATTTTGCAGCTAACATTCGAGAACCCAGTCCTTAGTTGTATTACGAGTAGATCATAGACATCTCATGTCCAATACTTAAAAGCTCAGTAGCACTAACTTTATATACATAACATATAACTTGCTAGCTAACTGCTGGACCGTGCTCCTAAAACAGAGGTCACAAATTCCCGACATAAGTCGGCACGGCCATTTTTTTCGCGCACAGTGGAGAAATTCTTCACGTGCCTCATTGTGCACCACGCCTGTAAAGAACAACTGTGGAGAAACCCTCTGAGCCTTGATGTCAGGGGTAGCTAACATAATACTAAGCTAATGTATTATTTTATTCCTACAGTTAAGGTGGGCCACTAGCTATCGCGCTCTCTAAATGAAGTTAATCGCGTATAGTAGGAACCTGCAGCAGGTGTTTAGCACAATTAGTAAGCAGCGAATAGCTACGCTATGAACAATAGTGTAATAAACCTTCACAACAAGCACTGTTACATTGAGAAAAAGCTTAAATAGACTACTTGCTGGGAGGTTTAGCTGGAATTGGAGCAGCAGGAGAGTAGGCACTTTATGAGGGAGAGGAACATGAGTAGCTGCCATATACACACTGCTAACTCTAATTGGTACTTTGGAAGATCTGATGTCACCCATGCCAAATTTAGTCCCACCCAAGGAAAATGGCAGAAAAAGTAATTAAAAAAAAAAAAGACCAACAGCATTCTTTCTCTACCAGTTCACAGCACAAACATGACAGTAACTATAGATAATAGCTAGAAGAAAATCATGAAAAATGAGTAGACAAGGGCTTTAAAACTTCAGACCTAGAAACAAAAAAAAAAAATAATAAAATAAAATAAAATAAAAGACACATTTCACATTCTGCATTATGAAATGAAGACACCTACCTTTTCCTGCGCAGGTGGGTGTTTACTCCTGACAGCCTGTTTTACTGGAGTTGAAGTCTTGGTCTTTCGATCTCCCATTTCGCTGCAACAAACGCAACAGAACGAAACGCTCTAAAAACAGGGTTTGCAAAATGCTACTGAGGTCACTCTCATGAATCCCATTACAGAAACATGCATTAAATACTAAGGATGCGCACAGGTACGTGAGTACTTGGTTAACATATTTGAACACTTTACTACCAGTTAGCTGTAGTTTAAGCTCATTGGCTCATCTGCAACAATCTCTGTAAAATGTTATTCAACCAACATAACAACCTAAAAGCCAAAATCGTTTATCACCCCCCCCCACCATTACACTTTTACAGATAGCAAAATTAGCCAAATGCATAGTGAATAAAACCCAGGCAAAATGGTGAATAACATCACACAGTATAACACGTCTTTATATCGCAATCGCAATTTAAGAGGATGCAATTTTTAAATCACAAGAGCAGCGATTGTTTTTTTTATAGCCTAGACTCTTAAAGATGGTTCTTCAAGGTTCTTAAAAGGTTGGTTCTTCAGTAAAGACATTCATTCTATACAGAACCATGAACACTAATATCCATTCGCATGCTTAAAGGGTTCTTTGCATGGTGAAATAGCTCTTCAGAATGATGGAAATGTGTTGTATATGGTTCTATATAGCACCAAAATGGGTTCTGCTATTGTTATGGTGTGAAGCTTGTAATAATAGAAGAACCTTTTTGGTGCTATATAGAACCACATACAACACACACTCCATCAATCTGAAGAACCATTTCACCGTGCAAAGAACACAATAAACATACAAATTAATCTTAGAGTGTTCATGGTTCTATACAGAGCCGCTGTTTTTACTAAAGAACCATTGTAGAACCATCTTTTTTAAGTGTGTACATTGTCAGAAATGTTATCTCAAGTTTTAAGAGTGGAAATTAAACCTAATAACACAGAGCTTGTGAAATGCCTGTAGATAAGCTGGACCAATCAGAGGCAGCCAAACCTCCATGTGTTTTGACATCACAACCATGACTTACTGTTACAGGTTGGCCAATCAGGGGTCAAGCCAGAAAAGGTGGATATATTCTGGTCTTCTTGGCTGTCCCAAATTCATCAGGCATGAATTTCAATTTATAAACAATGATTGCAGTATAAGTTGGAAAGAATTGCAATTAGGTATTTTCCCCAAATCGTTCAGCCCTACAAGATAAGACACTAATAGCAGACCTTTACACAACTAGACAACATTACAACATGTTTATCTCTACTCTATGCTTAGCCTAACATCCACACTGTAAAATATATTATCCAGGACAGGGGTGCACAACTCCAGTCCTGGAGGGCCGGTGTCCAGCACAGTTTGGTGATTTACCTACTCACAAACACCAGAAAGCACCTACATGTTTATCCATATCGGTTATCTGTTAATTTCCAGGTTTAGTGGCTGCCCTCCAGAAATTGAACTGTGCAGTTTAACACAACATACATTATCCAGCTAGCAAACTGGAGCTTTTCAGACAGCAGTATCTCTTGCACAGATTACTCCTGTCTCCTGGTTCTGTCTGGTAGGCAGATTAATTTCCACTTCAGACACACCCTAAACAGCCTTCCCACGTAATGTGAGTGTGGCTAATTAGGTCATCTTGGACTTCCGGTTACAGATGGCTGTGACGTTGCTGGGAATAAGCTCCTGGCAATAAAATTCAACCTACTCGATTTTAATAAACGACTGTGTGGGACTATGTTAAAGCTGATCAGCATGTCTTTCTTATAAGATAAAAGCTAAGAGACAGGAGAGGGTGTGGTGTCGTTTACTTTTACTTTTGCAACTACATAAATTAATCCAGAGTGTCTTCTGTTACTCCATTCAGTGATCAGCATTTCTTAATGAAAACCACAGAAAAACTAGGTTCTACTGAGAACTAGTCTGCTAGTCTTCTGTGCACAAGATGTTGTTGTAGAAATTATATCGCACAAAAACCAAATTAAACTCAGAGACAGAGTAGACAAAAAGGAGGCCTCACAAAGTGCAGCTCTCTATGTGTTCCCATTTTATAGACGACAGATCTGCTGAATCTATATCTAATAATGCAGAAGCAAAAGTAAAAGGAAGTTTTGAAATGGAATTGAATAATGTAACAGAGTGTAGGAAGGGCGTCTTTATACATATGTGTGTGTGTTTTTCAGTTTTTGACATAATCTCTGAAGTAAGAAATTATTAGTATTAATTTGGAATCATAAGAAAATGACACAAATCAAATTGAAAGATAAATACCACAAGTCATAGTTTTAATTAAATGCTAAAGTTCAAGAGATATGTTTTACTTAAAAGAATGCACTGATATATATATATATATATATATATACACACACAAACACACACACACGTGAAGCTCAGTGCATACTTTTAAGTAAAACATCTCTTTAACTTAGCATTTAATTAAAACTATGACTTGTGGTATTTATCTTTCAATTTGATTTGTCTCATTTTCTTATATGATTCCAAATTAATACTAATAATTTGTGTTACTGTTAAGCTTTACCACCTGTCTGTAAAGCACCTTAACCTGCTACCTGCATCAAAAGTGCTATATAAACTATTTATAAAATTATGTAAAATTATTTTAATACACACACACTCTATATAGCTGACGCTAAAGGTGAATGAATGAGTTATACGTGATTATGATTCAGACTATTTTTATTTTTTTTGCCATGAACCTGAAAACGAATGTAAAGTCTTTGAGAACGAATGTAAAGTGTTTGAGAACGTAAGACAGAGACAGGACACCAACCATCTCTGACACACCAAACACCTGAACACTCAGAGCCCAGCAGACTGAAACAAAAGTGAAACTAACTAAAGAAGAACAGTGAGCAGAGAAAACGGCTGCAAGCAGTAAAACTAACGTGTTCTGAGCTAAAATACGGTTTAAACTGAGGTAAAAGACCAAACTGGTAACAGGTGTTGAAAGTTTACACCGACTGCACTCGGCGCTCTAGTTCACATCCTGCTAACACTGCTGACACTTTCACTTGTTAGAAACGGAAACAAAGTCCTGGCACCCTGGAAAGCAGCCTTCGTTCTGCTGGATAAACACTGTTCTCCTTTCTTACTTCTCTTCTGACGAGATTATACAGTCAGATAAAGAAGTGCTATTCCGAAATGTTTATCGTCAACGCCGCGCTGGTTTTCTGAGAAATCTGACGGTAGTGAGAAACAGACCTCAGCTTAACTTACCTTTTCACGTCGTTTGGGGCTTCTAAGTTCTCCTCGGTGTTTCTGGGTTTCCCTGAAAGCACAGAGAACATGTGAAACACAGGATTAAACATCTGGGGACTGAGCTGTCTGAGAGGTTCTGCGCTGAGACACCACTCCCTCATAACTATGCTCAAACTCGCAGGACCTGAAGCGCAGCTAACCTGGCTGGGCCGGTATTCACAGAGCAGCCCCTGAGTGGGAGGACTGATCTGCGATCAGACTCCTCCGTGTTTACCACGGTCAAGGTCACGAAAACTGATTCTAGACCAGCACGTTCACAGCTCTGTGAACAAAGGCCCAGGGAAAACAAAAAAAAAACATGTCAACAGATCTTTCCACAAAAAGGCGCGACGTCCTCAGCCGCTCTCGACTGTCCGAGTAAAAAAAAAAGACCTAGAAAACTCGCTAATCTCTGCGAAGATAACGCAGCAGCTCACAATCAGACAAAACGACGATTATAAGAATTACCTCACGTTTCCCGCAGCTGCGCCCCGACTAACCGACCCACCAGCAGATCTCAGTGCGAGTTTATGCTCGAACAGTTCCGTGTTTCAGGAACGTTTGTCGTCATCAAAACGACAAGGTGGGTCGGCGAAGCTTCCCTTAATCGCAGCCGAACAAAGTTTGAACAACTTCACTAAACGAGTGTTTTTTGTTGTTGTTGTTGTTGTACAAGAGCCCGAATCAGAGATAAACAGAGTCAGCAGGAGCGGTTTAATGGACTCCGGGTTTTTGAACTTTAGCACTTGATTCAAATTCTGCCACATCTAAACAAACAATCATCAAGGCAATTATGAGGGCATCAGGCTATCATTGTGCGGCCCAGGGCAGACCTTTCAGTGTCAGGACGTTTCTAGTTTGTTTCTGGAAGAGTTCATGCAACAGCGTCATCTGTCAGGCAGGGGTTTTTATTAAATGATGACAAGGAAATAAAGACATTAAGACTATAGAGAGCACACAGTGAGCTTAAACCACACAGATTTGCATATATTTTTATTACACACAGGAGCACGATTCAAGCTCAATTTGATTTAAACCTTCCTTACATATACATATATATTTTTTTTTTAGTTTTTGTCATAATTTCAAAATGCCTGTTGCCTTTTACATTGTGTGTAAATTTCATGAAGAATGAACCAAAAGGAACAACCCAAAACGACAGTAAAAGTATGTTTTTTCCTTCTCCTGTTGTTTCCAACAACAATATATGTGGTATACATACACACACACAGTTTGAGCATGATGACCACCTCCTTGTTTCTACGCTCATTGTCCATTTTATCAGCTCCACTTACTATATAGGTGCACTTTGTAGTTCTACAGTTACAGACTGTAGTCCATCTGTTTCTCTGCATACTTTGTTAGCCCCCTTTTACCCTGTTCTTCAGTGGTCAGGACCCCCATGGACCCTCACAGAGCAGGTACTATTTGGGTGGTGGATCATTCTCAGCACTGCAGTAACACTGACGTGGTGGTGGTGTGTTAGTGTGTGTTGTGCTGGTACGAGCGGATCAGACACAGCAGTGCTGCTGGAGTTTTTAAACACTGTGTTAACTCACTGTCCACTCTATTAGACACTCCTACCTTGTCAGTCCACCTTGTAGATGTAAAGTCAGAGATGATAGCTCATCTGGAGCTGCACAGTTTGTGTTGGTGGTCCTCTAGTCCTTCATCAGTGGTCAGAGGACGCTGTTGGCTGGATATTTTTGGTTGGTGGACTATTCTCAGTCCAGCAGTGACAAGTGAGGTGTTTAAAAACTCCAGCAGCAACACACACTAACACACCACCACCACATCAGTGTTACTGCAGTGCTGAGAATGATCCACCACCCAAATAATACCTGCTCTGTGAGGGTCCATGGGGGTCCTGACCACTGAAGAACAGGGTAAAAGGGGGCTAACAAAGTATGCAGAGAAACAGATGGACTACAGTCTGTAACTGTAGAACTACAAAGTGCACCTACATAGTAAGTGGAGCTGATAAAATGGACAATGAGCGTAGAAACAAGGAGGTGGTCATTAATGTTATGCCTGATCGATGTAGCTTGATCTTGCGTTAAAATACATAACCTGTTTCTTCTATATAGTTGTGCCAGTGTTTGCATCTCTGGTCATAATGTTATGCCTGATCGGTGTATACACAAAAACACACAGACCACATCGTTAAGTTCAGGTTCATGTATCTAAACTCTTTGGTCCACCTGATACACACCAAACAGGTCTACTTTGTAGATCTATAATTACAGACTGTAGTTAATCTGTTTATCTGCATACTTTGTTAGCCCCCTTTTACCCCGTTCTTCAACGCACAGGACCCCCACAGAGCAGGGATTATTTGGTTGGTGGATCATTCTCAGAGGATGACCAATACAAACTGTGCAGATGAGCTAACAGATGAGCTATTGCCTCAGACTTTACACCTATAAGATGGACCAACTGCATAGGCGTGTCTAATAGAGTGGTCCTGTGCATGTGTATGTGTGTATATATATATATATATATATATATATATATATATATATATATATATATATATATATATATATATATCTCATCACTGTCCAAAGAAAAACAAGCATCTCCAAAATAGTAACTTTACAGGAGGAGGCAAAAAACACTCTTACCTTTCAATGTAAGTCAATGTAAAATTTTATTCTAAGGGATTTTGGAGCATTTCTATCCACTCATCATGAAATTTTCACGCAACCTAAAAGGACAGCTGGTGTGTTGAAATGAAGTAGAAAAATAAATATTGATAAAATTGGAGATCTATCTACCTACCTACCTGAACATGCCTACACACATGTACACAAGGGACTCTAAATAAAATTTTTACACTGAGGCGACCACAACTCACCTGAGGGTTCCTGCTGCTCCATCCTTTCTTCTGCTTTCTGGTACACAAGAACACAACTAATTTACTTCCAGAATCAAATCTCATCACTCATTTAACATACATTTTCATTTAAAATAGTTTATTTTTGGAAAATAATCAGAAAAGAAAACAAAGAAAAAAAAAGAAGTTGTCTGACCTTAACTCCCCAAGACCAGGTTTTGGGCACCACTTTCTTGGAGCATTAAAAACACACAGTTTCCAGTCCCCAATCCTGATCCTGGAGAGTTCAGATCCAGCAAAACTGGCTTCAATATTCAGATGCTTCTGAAGGCCTTCATTACCTGGATCAGGTGTGTTTGATTCTCCAAGGTAATGAAAGCCTTCAGGGTAATCTGAGTATTAGGGCCTGATACACTCTGTCTCCAGAGTGGCAGAGCTCTAGTACCAGGGTCTTATGTAAATCACTGAGTCACAGACTTTGCTAAAATGACCAAGTATTCTATATATTTATTAGTTTTGTCACATAACTGCTTTTATGACTATGCTTAGCATTGTTTTTGTGGCAAAATGTCTTCCATGAATGCTTTACTAAAATTCTCACTAATGCCATTTAAGCCCATGTTGTACACGATGCAAATACCCTCAACTCTAATAATAAACTCGAAGATAGCAATGAGGAAGTTGTGTGGTTGTCTTGCAAACTCCTTGTCAAATGTGAAAGTGACAGATGGATCCTCACCTTGTTCTCCTCAGTACAAGATCCAAGCGCTACCTCAGCGTCTTTCTGAGGATTTACGTGTTGGACTGACGAATCGAGTCCACATGCCCCTTCATGTCTGAGTGTCAGAAATCAAACATTAGCAAAACAAACGGCCTTTATCATTTTAACACAACAGAAAAGGAGTTAATAGAGAAAGAATACCTTTTACTGAATCCTTTCTTTGTCTCCGTTTTCTTTGGTTTTCCTTCAGCTTTGAAACAAAAAAGATAAACTGAACAGATATACCAAGAGAAACACATGTATAATTAAGTAATGAATGGTTTTCCAATTCACCTCCGTTAGTGCGCCAACGGCACAGCTCCTGTCTAACTACCCGGCGCAGGTCACGGGTTAGTAAGACAATTTTGAGCTATATTTAAAAGGTTGATTCGGCCAAAAATTCAACTAGCTCAATGTCAACCTTACCCCAAATGAAGTCGAGAAGCCAAGGCATGTTTAGCGTCCTGAATTTGCTCATTTTTTTGAGCTAGACCTTCAGGGCTAACGCAGCTCTCAGTGGAGGGAGCTGGTTAATATCCCAGCCCCATCGGCAAATTTCAAATGTAAATCACACACTTGATTCACAGGACATAGTTTGAATAAGAAATGTAATTTGTTTCGTGAAGTGAATAAATATACCAATCATTAACTTGGAACTACTTTATCGTCCAAGTCACTCCTCACTTACTGTAGTACTCCACCTTCTCTCTGTGGGCGGAGACTGTAATGTGTAAATGCAACCGACTGGAATTTCTCAGAACTGTAAATCATAAAGACCTCTTCTGTAAATAGTAGTAAAATCAGAAATTAGGACTTTGCACTGTGTTTAGCTTTGCTGGCAACCATCATTCGCTGCAGGACCACGAGTCCAAAGGGGTGGAGCCAGACCTGATCCAACTCCGCCCACGTCTTCTTTTCAAACTAGTATGTGTCGATTACGTTTTCCACCTACGACTTATTTCATTGGTCTACCCTGTCACGTTTTTATCTGTGGGAAACCCGCGGGTGTTGCTGGTGTTTTTGGTTTTTTTTTTTCTCGATGTCGCTCCGTCCTGAATGCCACAATACAGCCTTTATAATCACTCATGATTCATGATGTTCACACTCATTCGTCAAAACTCGAAAAGCTTTTTCACTTTCTGGTACAAAGTCCGTTCTGTAGGTCTACGCCTCAAGCGTACTTATGATAGACAAGTCCTAGTTGAAAACGCTGAATGTTTTTAAACACTAGAATGTACATATGACACAAGGTCATACATGAGGTCAAAATAACCCACATTCATAATAAAAAAAAAAAATCTTTATACTGACTTTTTTTTACATTTAAAAGGATTTGGTATCACTGCCACACATTTCCATAAGTCTAATAAAAATGACTCAATATACCTGAAATCATATTAAATGTTATATACCCTGATAAGCCACTTTATTGTTTTTTTTTTTTATCAGCTTCACTCTAGTTCAGACCAATTAAAACACGACGTGGGAGGAGTTGGATCAGATCCAGCTGTACCCCCTGGACTTTTGGTTCTGCAGCGACGATTCAGCTGTGCTTCTTCACGTTATCCCGCCACATATTACACTGCGCGTTTTTGACAGGTTCTGGTGCTTTTTGAATCGATTTCAATGAGATGCATGATAGTGCGCAAGAAAAACTCAGTGTGTGGGAGAGGGGGGGTTAAAGGCCAATTCATAGTTCAGACGACAAGCGTCACTTGACGAAAATGTCGTAAAATAGACAAAATTTGTGTCTGGTAGTCGGTCGCAGACCTTGTCGCGTACAACAAAAATTTGGAAAGGGCGCAGACGCTGTTGCTCACTCTGATTGGACAGAAACTCAAAGTTCTACGTTCTGAACTGTTGCCGTGGTCATGGTGTGCGGCTGTGTTTACTTTCTTGCTGATTCGGTGCTGTCAGAAGCAGAACAGGTTGCCAGCTTTTCAGAACTAGGATCAATATACATTTATAAGACGATTTGTTTTCATTTTCAAACATTTTTCCCCACAACTGCAATTACTTTAAAAATAGTCCAAGCAGAAAACGCACCTGCGATTGTAATTTCCCCCGCACTGCACTTTCAGACTAACCGGAATTTTTTGGAAAACCGCAAATCTGGCAACCCTGAGTGACGGAGAAGTGAAACGCGCGTGAAAACAAGTGCATCTCATTGAAATCGATTCAAAAAGCTCCTGAGCCTGCCAAAATTTGCGCAGTGTGATATGTGGCAGGATAACATGAAGTGCAGCTGAAAACAGGCGGCAAAAAAGCTAAACAGAGTGCAAAGTCCTAATTTCTGATTTTACTACTATTTCTGGTTGCAGCATTGCAACTGTTGCTTCTGTAGCTGTGCTTTCATACAGGTTTTTTTTAATAGAAACTACACAGAAACTACTTCTATGCAAACATTTTGTCGTTGGCACTGCAACATCTGTCCACCACATTTCTTTTTTTGTTAGTCGTTTTTTGACATTTGTCGACTGGACTATAAATTGGCCTTAAGGCTTTGCCACCACAGCCAATTTAAGGGGGGCCTGGCCACTTCATATTTCTTCAGTTGAATCTAAAACATGACTGAAAATGCAGAGAGTCCTAAATGAATGTAGGTTAATGGAGCTAAATGGCAAAAAACGAAATTAAAAATAGTTTCTAACCATTTGTTCTTCACCTTCCTTTAATTCTGGAAAGTAGAAGGATATACGTCTTTAAAAAGTGCAATGAAAACTTACCTGTATGTTTCCCTTTTTCTACAGCAAACGTGTTTTGGGCAGCAGGACTCTAACATCACTGCTACTGATTGCTGATTGGTTGACATTACTGTTACTGAGTGCTGATTGGCTAGCATTACTGCTACTGCTATTACTGAGTGGTTGGTGAGCAGAGCTTACCCACTTACTGACATCATGACCGTACATACAATACCATTATACAGTCCTATAACTGGAGTTAAAAAGCACTCAAAAATATAACAGAGGTGTTAAAATGGTTTATATACTGAAATAACACTGAATTCAATGCATTCTTCTATATAAAAACATTTTAGAATGTACAAACTATGATTTTGCTCAAATGCTCCATACTAACCCTTTCACTTAGGACTCGCTCTGGAGCGCCCTCGTTCAGGAGTGGCAAACCTCATCCCGACAAATTCTCTGGTGTCTCCTTCAAGTAATGGTGCACTAAAAATCAAATGAGCACAATTTTCCACTAACTTCAAATGTAGTCAATTAGCAAGAACAAGACTGGTGTGTGAAGTTTGCTTTTTTAGGTTTGCACTGGAACCACAAAGCTAATATTTAAGTCTAGCTGTTTTTGCACTGTAGCTTCAGTGCAAACTAATTAAAGGGCTCATATCCTACAAACTTCTTGTGTTATGTTTTTTCTTCCCGAGGCTCATTTATATTGCTTGTGTGGTTTTATGTACCAAGAACAGTCATAATTCACTTTTACCTGAACATTTTCCAACCTCCTTTTAATCCCTTAGAATTAAACAGCCGCTGCTTTTGTTACTATGTTAAGACTGATATATTAAAATGAGCGCTGTTCTGATTGGGTGAAAATGTACCGTGCCTCATTCAAAAAGCATAGTTTTAGTGGGGAGGGATGGAGCTAAACTTATGTATGCTGAACAGGAGGATATATGGAAAATGTTGGTTTTCATGAAATCACAGAAACAGTGACTTCAAAGCGGTTTGTTTTTGCAGCATAGTGGAATATTCAGGCTGGGAATGACTGGTATGATTTGAAAGTTAGTGTTTACATGGTACATTTCATTTTATAAATAACGAGGAAAATTTAGTTTTGTATGATATGGCCTTTCACCAACCTTGGCTTGGCAACTCAGCTACTTCTGGGGGTAAGGAGAAAACTGTAAATTTGAATTTTCAGTGCACTATTCCTATACATTTTTTCCCAGCTTGTCATTGCATTCCAGCTTCAAAATGTAAGACTGGGGCCAACTGGTGACAAATAACAGGATTGTTTCAATTCAGCTGCAGGAGCCATGTAGTAGATTTAGGGAGGAGTTGAAAAGACAGCTGGCAACTTTACTGCCTGTAATGTGAGCTGTGGCAGATCTCACATTCGCATATTAGTCGTTATGAAGCACAACAATTTGAAATGAATTTTACATATGAAAATGAACACCAGAAACACTGCACATTTTAATAGGCTATGTGTAGTTTTCAATTAAGCGTCTGTTTCACATTAAAGGAGTCCAAGACTGGCCTACCTGTTATTTCATTCCCAATAAATTTGATGCTGCGTTTACGCGTCAGTTTTCATTTTGACAAACTCAAAACATATGAGCACAGAATGTAACCTCTGGCTGAATGACATCATCACACACAGAATAGAAACTATAGGGTAGGGGTATTTAACAGTGGCCCTGGAGAAGAAAACTGGTGATTTCCATGCTCAAACATACCAAATAAAGTTGGCAATTATGCACACATTGAATCAGGTGTATCTCAACAGGGAAATCACCTGCTGCCCAGGACAGGAACTGAATAATCTGGCTTAGATACTGAAAGAGTGCGATAGGAAATGGGTTGCATGTGACAGGCTATCGACATCGGGGTCTTGCAAAGTGGAACAAGCACACACGCTTTGCACACAAACTCGCACGCAGTTCAAGAACAGAAAATGCAGTAGTAGACTACCCAAGTTCAACTTGAGGACAGCGAGAACACCAGGTCATTTTAAACAAGTCAGATACTTGTTTGCAGATATAGATATACCTGAGGTCAGCAGTAGGGACTTTCTGAACCTATCATCATACATGCTATCTCTGGTAAATGTCACCCAAGCTATATAAGTCTAAGGCCCAATCCCATTTCACCCCTTGCCCCTACCACTTAGCCCTTAGCCCTCTGCTTTGCGTGTTCATGTCTAGGGGTAGGGTGTCCTGATTGTTGTTCAGATACAGGGGTGGGGCGAAGTGTTGGGGCTACATGGCCCTCCAAACTGAAGTTTTTCAGAGGCTCCAAACAGAGTGCTATGAAAAAAAAAGAAAAACCGGCAAGACGGCTGAGCACGAGACCAAAGAAACCCACAAATGTGAGAATTTTCTCCGTTAAAAATTATGATAACCACTGTATTATCTTAGTTTAGAGTCGTTTCAACGTATTATGGTCGTTTTCGTCATAACAAGCATAAAAAATCGCTAATAGCATGCTAATGTCTCGGTAGCTAGCTAGCTAACCTTCCCGTTCCACCTTAAATAGTCCAGCAGTTCTGACGCCTGAAACGCCAGAATGTAACTGCTGCACCATTTAAGGTGGAACGGGAAAATTCAAACAAGAATAGCTGACTTCAGCTTCAGTGGGTGATAATAAATAATTGCCCCCCTCTTTGAAAGCACATGATGCCCTAAATGTAACTAAAGCCCAGCAGTGAGGAGCTGAACTTTTCCCTCCTCTGCTATCACTGAAGACAGGCCGGGTCGCCTACAGAGCACCGCTAGTAGCTGTTAATGAAGCAATGTTTTTTTGTTTTTTTTAATTTGAGGATTGTCCCATTTCGTAGGGCAAGATTTCAACCACTACCCTTTGTAACTCCGTTCCAAGGGGTTAGGGTGACACTCGAAAACAAGGGGCAGGGGTGAAAAGAAGAAATGGGACTGGGCCTAAGTCTTAGGAACCTGGCCTTAAAACAGCAACTGATGGCAAATTGCTTAGATGGCTTTTATCGCCCACACCAGGTTCTGTGCTATTTTAATAACAACTTGAAATAAAGGCAACCTTAAACTTGCAGTATTTTTCACAACTGAACAAGATCCTGCTTATTTTAGATTGGCCGTCGATATTTATCAGATACAAAAAATACAAATGGTATGGTTGTCAGCAGAGTGTATAGTCTATGAATACTATACTTTGTTATATGTTATTAAGCTGTCCCTCAGCTCACGCTAACCACCTAGGCATGCCATTTGAGACTGTTTAACAACTCAATATGGTTTGTCAAGTGTAGTAATTTAGGCATGTCGTTTGCTAATGGTAATTGGTGGCTATAAACTTCAATTACTTGTTAGCTATTTCTATAAACTTTAGAGACCGAACATGTCTTGGCTGATTGATTACAGTTGGGAAAAGCGAGCCATTTCATTTTTGGCAGAAGTACTGCTTTAATTACCCAGCCTTCTCGCTCTGCCCTTACCTTTTACTTCATAAGGCTCCGTCACAAAGCGGCTGTACTGCTGGTGGAGGTCTCTCATTCCTTCTGGATCAGCACTGCAAAAGTTCTGAGCTAACATATTGGCTTCCAATGCTTTTTCTTTAGCTCCCAGAAAGAATAAAGCATCACAGAAGCGATAATGGCCCTGAAATATATGGAGGAATTGACAAAAACAGAAATTAACACAAAAATAAAGTAAAGAAGTTCATGAAAGGTTGCATGCTGCAGACTCAGGGTGGAACAGCAGAAGAGGGTTACCTTTGCCCAGTCTCTTTTCAGAATAATAGCTCTCTTGCCATCACCCATCGCTTTCCTGAAATTTATGAAAAACAGTTTAACCCTCCGATTATCTTTGGGATCAATTTAACCCCATTCAGTGTTTAACATTTCTAAATAAATGCTTCATATTTAATGACTTTACCCAGTTGTCTCCATTAAATCAGAAAAACATAAAATTAAAATGATAATATATTTTCAATGTTGTTCACAATTTGTACACATCAGTGTTCGTTGGGGTCATTTTGACCCCAGGCTGTTTTTACACACATTTGCTTTGGATGATACTGGCGACACTATGACATGCAATTTTATAATCTTCAAAAAAAAACGTCTGCCTTCTGCTTTTGGGCCCTAACCTCACATAACCACACATGTGATACTGCGAGAACCACTGAAAGTTCACACAACATGGGGGTGGGTAAAAAATAATTCCTAGGAGAACAGGAGGCAGGAAAATATAGTTCCAGGAAGGACATATAGTTCACACAACACAAGGGAAGAGCAAACATATTGTGGTGTCAACCACAGGCTATGCTACCATGAGGAGATCAGGAGGTGTGGGCATGCAAGGTGGCTCCCGGTAAGAAAATGACAGTCACTGTTCTGTTGTTGCTGTTTCTAGTGTAGTTGTGTTGCTTTGAGTACACTGCGTCCAGGGAGGGTGGACTCTGTAGTATAACAAGTGGTTAAAAGTGTCTACCCTCCCCGTATGTTGTGCCCTCCCGTGTCAGCCCTTCCCTTTGTTTCATGTTGGAGTAGCGCTGGACTGAGCATTTCTTGCTGCCTGTTCAAAACAACAAAATAACGTTTTTCATTTCTTCTTCTACGGCGACGCCACAGTGGTGTCAGAAGTGGGATACAAATTAAACTCCACTCCACTCAGTGGATGGCCAGACAGAAGCTCCTGGAGATTTGGAGGCTAAAGGGAAAGCAATACCCTTGTTGGCATCTTCTACGCAGTATATAATGGAGAAAACGGAAGGCGGTGGAGAGAAGGGCGGCTGCTGCTGTCGTTACCCCCAGTAGCGCCAGACTTGATTCTGTAAGCAGTGAGGAGTCTCTCCGCTCACTGATGGACAGGACGCTCACACAGCTGGCATTCAGCTGCCCACCAGCTGCAGAGCAAATCGGTACACCTGGAGTGGAGTACGCCGAGGAGCCACTGCCCCAAGGACACGGTACCGAGAGAGGACTGGGGGTATGGAACAGGCACCCTGTGGCACTTGTGCTGGCCAGGACTCGCCCCAGGGACTTTGTTCGGACTGTGTGGGTTGCCAGAACAGCTGACCCTTGAGCGGGGAGCCACGTCACGTAATGCATTGTGGATGTATGTAATGTTTTATTTAAAGGGCTATTTAGGTAGTCAACAAAAACGTAACACAAACCTGGGTAGCAATTTTAATTATAATTATTTTCTGGAGGATTAAATTGCTGGGATCAAATTGCCCCCTGAGATAAAAAATGTTAGTAAATCTGAAGATAAAAGGATTTTTTTTAGTAGATACACATTACAGGTCTTTAAAGGAATTAGTTTTTTCACATCAACTTACAGATATTTTTCACATCGAAGAAAGCAGAGAGATCTGTTACCATACAGAAGGTGGTTGTTGGTACTGAAACAAAGAATATGCTTACAGTGAGCAAGTTTATATTTACGACATGAACAAGACGCAGTTGTAAATCTTATCTTATGTATAAGGCTGAGATACATGAACTCAAACTCACTCAGACAATTCAAAACTTACTGGTATTTAATAGCCTTTGTGTACCACTTCACTGCTAGATCATATTTTTTCTTTTGGAACTGTTCATTCCCTTTGTTCTTCATTTCTTCACTTTTCTGAGAAAACAAAAAAGATATGTGGGTTAGAGTGAATACTGAAGACTTTATACTTTAATCAGTGATCTAAGTTGTAAAACACTGATTTCAACAAAGGGTACTGCCCCTAACTTTGAAACAAGCACTACTGAACAGACAGTTTTGAAGTGGAACTTCCCTATTTTATATAGCATTTCTTAACATCAGCCGCCCTTTATTTTGTGTTTGGACATTTCATAACAAATGCACCAAAAGAAATGGTCCAATAAGTATGCAGAATGAAACTGTGTACAATATATGTTTATATACAATTTATACATTAAACTGAACAACACTTTTCCCTTCTCTTTGATGCATGCTTTTAATGCTGGATACTTATTGAAGAGCCGAACTACTCAGATTAGCCACTGTAAATCCTTAAGATAAAGCTCAAACTGGTATTACAACACCTGTGAAATTAGTATTTGCAAACAGGAGCTAACTGAACACTTATCAAACTCCTAATCAGGAACTGATCAACTTGGACTTCCAACCTGTAAACTCCACGGCTCTGGCTCTACTGACAGCTCTCTTATCATCTTCTTTTTGCTGCATGACACCACCTGAACGTAACGAGCATCTGTGGACAGGCGGGAGACAAAAAAAAAAATCAAAACTATAAGTTATCATTCATTCAGTTTCCACCAGGCAACAGCTGAGTGCATAAAGGAGTGAAGTCAGCAAATTAGTGAACTGATGTTGGGCTGGGGAATGAACCCTTTCCACACTGGTCAAGCTGTATCCTGGCCACACTAGGTCAATAAATTACTTATGTTAGAAATTTACATCAGACCTTTGTGTTAGTTTCCAACATCACATTTACTAATATGTAACAAACCATTACATAACTATAGTATAATCAATCTGTCATTAAACTATGATCCTGTTACAGAATTGTTATCATTGTTTTTAACTGTAAATTTGTAAATTCAGTCATGCACAAAAATGTGGTCAAATTACGTTTTGTTGATTTTCTAAGTGTAAAAATTACACATCTACAGAAAATACACTTATGCACATTTTAATGCACAGTTAATGTTTTGTTTGTTGTTTTTTGCTGAATCTAAAATACTAGGGGGGAAAAAACATGGTCTATGTAAAAGTTATGGTACTATATATATACACATATATACACATACATATACACATATATATACATACACACACACACATATATGTGTAATTTTTTCTGTGTTGCTTAGCAAAAACAGTATAAACTTATTTTTATAAAACTCGTAATTTGACCGTGCATATTCAAACTTTTACATACAACTGTACACGGTCTTAAGTGCTGAAAGCATCTAGAGGAGACAACTCTACGTCCACTGCACTGGCTTAATGCTCTCACCCCAAGGCCGGCTGGTGAGGTAAAATTTACAAAGAGTTGTCAGTTTATTACTTTGTGCCAACACACACATATTATCCATTTTATCAATTAGTTATAGATTAAAGGCACTTTATAGTAGCAGTGGTCAGTGTAGCCAAAATTTTATATCACGGTAATCTAAAAATTGCTGATGGTTTTGGTATGTTGACACTTTTGTACTTTAGGTATACATTTATACTTTTTTCTTCAAATAAAACCATTTTTGATGCTTTAGAGAAGCCTATTTTTTGTTCACAATGTCTGTTTATTCTGAAAAGTCCCTTCACATTTAATAAGAAACATATTTAACAACTGAAATATTTTTATTGTGCAAAACAGTAAATCAGAACAATAACAAGCAGTCTGGCTAATCTTTTATGTCTCTCCTTCAGTAACAAACTGGACTACCTCAGACTGCAACTGACTTAACAGCGCGAGGTGACTGAGGGATAGTTGCATTTTCATTTTCACTGAAACGCAACTGAAGCGTCCATTTCAGCTAAATGGGACAGTGTGTTTTGCAGTATACAGCACATTACTTCTTCGTCGGTGTAAAATTACTGACTGTAACTCATTTGTTGCTGCACAATTTGTCAACCACCCTGTCCTTCAGTGGAAAGGGACCATCACTGCAGCACATGGGTCATAGAAATAGCACCTATATGGAACGTGTTTCTGATAAAATGGCCAATAAACGTACATACAAAGTAAAGATGCATAATAAACTGGCAACTCCCAGCCTAAACTGCACTTGACTTACACTCAATGAAGATGAACTGCAGAACATGATAGCGTATTGACTTTGCGCCAAGATCCAGAAGTTTCCTGCTAAAGCCAGGTGGTCCAAACTCCTCAAGCCACTTCACTGCATCCACAAGACAATCCTCTTGCTGCAGAGACAGGTACAGAGAGATGGGCAGTGAGCAAGACAGAAACACAATAATAAGCATGTCTGAAGTAAATGTGTTCTGTACATAATCATTCATGATAATAGTTAACAATAAAAGCAAATCATCACTGCATACATGAAGTTTATTATTCCCATTAATTGAACTGAAACAGCCCTGGCTGATTAGACATGTGTAAATATTAATATATATGGATAAATATAAACGTGTTGGTTCTCAAGACATCACAAAAACAATGAACTCAAAACAGGCTGATTTTGCAGCTAATTGCTGTACATGGAATACACTTTCCAAGCACTTTACTATGAGCACCTTCTTGTTTCTACACTCACTGTCCGTTTTATCAGCTCCACTGACCATATAGGAGTTCTTTGTAGTTCTAATTACAGACTGTAGTCCATCTGTTTCTCTGCATACTTTGTTAGCCCCCTTTTACCCTGTTCTTCAGTGGTCAGGACCACCGCAGATCAGGTATTATTTGGGTGGTGGATCATTCTCAGCACTGCAGTAACACTGACGTGGTGGTGGTGGTGTGTTAGTCTGTGTTGCGCTGGTCTGAGTGGATCAGACACAGCAGTGCTGCTGGAGTTTTTAAACACCTCAGTGTCACTGCTGGACTGAGAACAGTCCACCAACCAAAAACATCCAGCCAACAGCGTCCTGTAGGCAGCGTCCTGTGACCACTGCTCTGCTAACGGCATAACCAGCAACCTGCCTGGCTCTTTTTATTGAAGGGCGAGGCATTCTCTGTAAATGGACGCCATCTTGAGTGTTATGAGCATCCCTGTTCATATTTTAACCCATGACCAGGCTCCTCATTTATGGCGTCTCTGGTCTGAGCCGCTCGTACCAGCACAACACACATTTTTTGAATTTTGAGGCTTTAACAAATGTTTACATATTACATCTAACTCTTTTTATAATAATAAAATTAATAATCAAGCGAAATAAAGTTTCCCATGATATGGGCTCTTTTAAGTACTATAAAAGTAAAGCACAAACTTTCACTTATCCGGTACAGGCTCTACTTTAGAGATAGAGAGCTTTGTTCCAACTGCGGCAATGTCTTCTCATGCCCAACAAGTCACATACAGTAAAAGACACTACATCTCAATGCTAGAAATTAGGGCTGGGCGATAAAATGATAACGATGATTGTCGCGATATAACTTTCCACGATAGAAATATAAGAAGTGTTTGATATAATAGACCATTTTCACACTTCCACGTTCTAGCAACAGCCCTGGTGGCATTTTCTACTGCAAGGAAAGCGACAATATTCTGCTGTCATCATGAGAGGGCGCACTTCCGAGTTTTTCAACATGATTAGAGAGGGAGGGGGCGACAAGTAAAATGAGTCGCCAAATATACTTTGGCAACGTTTGAAACGTGGAGCTATACATTCCCTGCTTGAGAGGAGCGACCGGCAACCTTTTTCCTCTATAACCAAGGCCCAATCCCATTTCACCCCTTGCCCCTACCACTTAGCCCTTAGCCCTCTGTTTTGCGTGTTTACGTCTAGGGGTAGGGTGTCCCGATTTTAGTTGAGATAGAGGGGGAGAGTAAAGTGTGTGGGCTACATGGCCCTCCAAACAGAGGTTTTTCAGAGACTCCAAACGAAGTGTTATGAGAAAAAAAGAAAAAAACGGCAAGATGGCTGAACAAGAGACCAAAGAAACCCACAAATGTGGGAATTTTCTCCGTTAAAAATTATGATAACCACTGTATTATCTTAGTTTAACGTCGTTTCAATGTATTATGGTCGTTCTCTTCGTAACAAGCATAAAAAATCGCTAATAGCATGCTAATGTCTTGGTAGCTAGCTAGCTAACTTTCCCGTTCCACCTTAAATAGTCCAGCAGTTCTGATGCCTGAAGCGCCAGAATGTAACTGCTGCTCCATTTAAGGTGGAACGGGAAAATTCGAACGAGAAGCTGGTGAATATCTGACTTCAGCTTCATATCAGTGGTGGGTGATTATAAATAATTGCCCCCCTCTTTGAAGGCATATGATGCCCTAAATGTAACTAAAGCCCAGCAGTGAGGAGCTGAACTTTACCCTTCTCTGCTGTCACTGAAGACGGGCCGGGTCATCTACAGAGCAGCGCTAGTACGTTTTTAATGAAGCAGTGTTTTTTTTTTTGTTTTTTTTTTTAATTTGAGGATTGTCCCATTTCGTAGGGCAAGTTTTTAACCACTACCCCTTGTAACTCAGTTCCAAGTGGTTAGGGTGACACTCGAAAACAAGGGGTAGGGGTAAAAAGAAGAAATGGGACAAGGCCTAAGTGAGCAGTGTAACTGTACTGGCCAGCGAACTCACCTATTTCCTAACATCCTAACAAGCTTTAGCAGCGTTAAATCACATCTGCTTAACACAACTACAGCACTGTTACAGCACTCAGTCATATTTTACTGTTAGTGCAACAAAGCAGTTCTTAAACAACAAAAGTGAAAGAAAGAAGTGGGTTCAAGCAAGTTACAGCCCTGATACAAACGAAAGTAAACTGAGGATTCCGTATGTGAGGCATTGGAGAGTGGGAGAATGCTAGCTTCCCAGGCTAGCTGTTTTAAGCAGCTGGCTAACTTGAAGCAGCGCTCTGTCACTCGCACAACGTGGCGAATTGATGATACTGTAGATCAAACAAGACGAAAAGCGCTGATTGTCTAGTTTAGAGAGTCACACTGCAGCGAGAGTCAGATGTATTGTGGTTCACTGCTCAAACTACTATGACAGAATAGAGAAACCCAGTCGTCTGCTAGCTGGTGTTTGAATACTGTGATATGCTCTGACATGGATGTGGTAGGAGTGATGACATGGATGTGGTAGGAGTGATGGCAGTGATCTCCCACTCTCCCATGACAGATCTGTAAAATGTTCCACTGTTTCGTGAGTGTTTGTCACGTTCTGACCATAAAGGATAGTTCAAAACAACAATTAACCACTCAGGAGCAAAAATCAGCCTTTAAAGAAATAATGATTTGACATTTATCGTGATATGTATCGATATCGACTGATACGAAAACTTTTATTGAGATAAAAATTTTTGGCCATATCGCCAAGCCCTACTAGAAATAAAATCTCAATATTACAATTAAGCAATCTTACCAGTTTAAAAGAGGTGCTAAATAATACCAGCTCCCTTGCTTTCCTCTCAGCTTCTGCATCTGCAAGCTATAAAGAGAAAAAATACTCAGAATGAGCTTTACTGACCAGACTACAAAGTGTCTGCATAGTCCTCCAACTCCAGTCCTGTACTCCACCTACACATTTTCAATTTCAGGAAAAAATGTAATACATACACATCTTTCTATTGTGTTAAGGATGAGCTCCAGGACTTCAATTCTGTGCAGCCTTTTTAAGCTCAAATCGTTTGAAACACTGAAACAGAGAGAACAACAGAGCAAGGTCTTACAACATGAACAGCAATGGCAACGCAAAATCTCTAAATAAAACACTATTTTCAGTCAAGCACAGAAGAAATCAACCGCAAATTTGGTTTATGACAGTGGGTAAGGTTTCAGGAGTGTAATGATACTCATATTAGGTACAATTTTCAATTCTGAGGTTTGATTTAATTCGATATTTTTTGCATTAAAAAGTTGTGAGGTCTACAGAGTTTTCGGTACATACTACACAGATTGGTTTGCGCTGTGTAAATAAAGGTGCTCAAAGAATTTTTATTCTTTTAATGCCTACCAGCTTTCTAACAAAGGCTACGTCCACATTACAAGTCTGCTTGATTCGGATTTTTTTTTTGCTCAGATCTGATCTTTTGATGGTTCACATTCATGTAGGTAAGTGACTCGAATCTGTCATTAATGTGAACGAACCTGCGACCTGAAACATCCTGCATGTGCACATCCTAATCAACAATGTCACACGAATGAACCACGTGTGTCATAAACAAAAATCACTAAAATAATTTGCTCCTAACAGCTCTCGGCTGTTCACTATTAGACTAAAAAGAGGGTGAAAAAGGGACAGATGCACCGTTTAATGGCATTAACTTCAGATTTGTGCTTCTTCATCCTGGTAATGTGAACGTGGCCAAAATAAGTGCCAAAAACGGCAACTTATAGAATGTAGAAACCTTAGATTTAAGAATAAACATCCAGTCAAGGGTTTAAGGAGAGCATAAGCCCCTCCTCCTCCCTGCCCACTTCACTCTGACAGGATGCATCCAGATGTGTAGTTTCAATTACACTAGCTGCCTTTCAAAGCCTAGGCTGCATTTCTCGGCCGCTACATCATAGCAGGCCGTTCCAAAGTGAAGGACCCTTCGTATACAGCCTAGAAATGCTGCCCATGTTCTGAGTGATTTCAAGGACGCATCAGATGTATCTTTCCAGGCCTTCGGTTACCCACAGTTCTCTGTGCACAAACGACTTGAAGGAAAAAAAAACAGCATCACGAAAATGGTGGAAAACAGAGCCATTGGAGCAGAGCTCGTTTTAAAATGTAAGTTGTTCATGTGCTTGAATTCGTCTTCATGACCTTATAAAGTGTAAAATGATTGATTAATTAACCTTTTCAACTCTCTGAGACCACCGGTGGTTCCAAAACGCACTTCATCATATTCTTCATAACTTTCATATTTCATAAGCTACATCCAAAAGGTGGGGGTCGTATGAGAGCTGTAACTGTCCTCTTTCCAGTCAAATAGATGGGTGATGTCATTTTAAACCCTTATAATAAAAGAAGCTGAACTCACAATTTTTTTTTCTACTGAAAGTCGACCCATTTTTCCACAAATCTGGGCTATAAACTATAAACAGATGGCGGCTCTTCAGTAATCTGCTCTGTACAAATTATTTTTATAAAATAATACAAAGAGCGTCTAAGATTTTTGGCTTTCAGCAGTAAATTGTAAGCATATAGCAATATGTGTGATCATTAAAAACATGTTCTAAAAATTTACATTTATTTCATGCAGTTACTGAATAATTTGCCTTATGATTTGGTCACGTAAATTCAGACTGAACAACCAAAATATACCCTGATGAACAAGAGGTTAAAGCCTTCGTCCATATATCATATATTATTTAGAAGTATTTGTCTATATGTAGTTTATCGTACTACATAAGAACATCTCCATTTCCATGAAGAAACAAAAAAGCAACAAACTCGATGAAACAGGCTCCATTTTCTCTCACCAGCTCCCTCACGAATTTTGCGCCACTCCGGTGACGTCACCATGCAGCCTCGTTAGGACTGTTCAATTTGTGTGACCAATAGGCTACTAAGGAGGAGTCGTCATAGGACAGTCCTACCAAGGACCCGCACTACCTCGGCAGCAGCCCAGGCTTTGGAAGGCAGCTACTGTCAATACAGTTTTAAATTTTAATGCACGATTTTGAACGTTCATTTTAAAGGTGGGGATCACTGCAGATCCTTAGATATACTATTATCAAGACACTTAAGCCACAATATGGGTGTGTCTCAAAACCTAGTGAGCTCTCTACATAGACAGCATTTTACGTCACAATACGCGCTCCCGACAAGAAGGCTGTCCCAGTTCTTAAATATCTCAAATATGCTGCCTACTGAGGTCTCTCGTTTTGGCCGAATTTCAATAGAGCATCGGATGTTTCCATGGCCGCTGAGGCAATCCCGCGAGGCAGCGTGGCACAACTTTTGTTTGAAGATGGCGGGCAGAAGCGCTTCACCAAGCAGCAACGTCATCTCCAAATGTAAGCTATTCTGATTTTCTGGGTTATTGATCTGTCTTCTAGTCATAAAGGTGCACAAATAGCCTATACTTTCCACGTTTGACCACAACTATTGTCTATTTTGCTGTTTCATTCAGAGCAAATACAATTAAAATCACTATATAAACTGCCAGAGCAGATCCATGTTGGCTAAATGTGATTCTGACGGCTGAGGTCAGTAAACGCCGGTCTCGTGCAGTGGGCAGGAACAAGCGGCGACGTCACTGCTGTCTAACTAGAGCATCTCTTTTATCTATCTTATAAGGATAGATGACGGTTGGAACGCTGCCTACTTAGACAGCTGCCTATGTAGACAGCGGCTACTCAGAGAGCTCACTAGGTTTTGAGACACACCCTATGATTGTCGTGAGATTTTTTGTGCTTCCAAAAGAAAATATTCTCCATTCATCTCACTTCAATCCTTTTAATTAACACGAAACAGAATGACAGAGTGACAAAGTACCTTTTTTAGAACATGCTTTTATGTAGAAAAATGTACAGTAGCTGTTGAATGCTACACTAGGAGTTAAGTGTTAGTACATATACCCTCATAGTGGTTCCTAAGTCTTGATTTAACTAGGAATCGAACCCTGTTCTCTTGTGTACAGTGGTGTTATCCACTACACCAGGGGTGGCCTGGAGATCTATCACCATGGAGATTTCAGACTTTGCTGTGATATTCAGACGCTCCTGCAAGCCTTCATTACCTGGATCAGGCGTGTTAGATTAGGGTTTGAGCTAAACTCTGCAGGGCGATAGATCTCCAGGACTGACCAACCCTGCACTGACAGAGGGGTTAAGTTCTAAAAGCCCCTAACAGGTTGGGAAAATCAATACAAAATGTAATTAATGCAATGTAATTCTATGTTGTCTGAACCTTATGAGAAAAGAGTGTGTCAAATGTGACCAGAGCTGCAAATATCAGCAAAGTAAAATTAAAATATATTTTATTTACATAAGATGTAGCATGTTTTTGACAAATCTGCACATAAAAAACAAAAAAAAAGTCTATTTTGAATTCATACTGGGGAACATGGGATTGTTTACTTTAAGAGAGTTGTAACAAGCCTGGGTACCTCTCACTGAGCCAAGAGGGAAATTATAATATCATAGGCGTGAATTATGTGACTTCTATACACAACTCAGCAATCGAAAATCACTTATGATGGAAAAAAGCTACTATTATTGTACAACAGCAGTCTTGAGGATGGATTTTCTGAAATATCTGCCTGATTGCTGTCAAAATTCACACACTGACATTGCTATGGGAACATAAACATGGCTTTTCAACTTGAATCTGTTTCACTACATTAAAAGTTGCATTTTACTCCATGTTAGTTTGTGTCCCTTGTGTTCACCCCTCCATGTAAAAAAGGTAATAATGTGACCATATTAATATTGATCTAAGAAAGAACATTAATATTTGGGGTCTTTTTTTCAATTATGTTTCTTATTTCAGCCACTTTTACATTTAAAACCTGCAAAACAAATGATCCAATTATGATATCTTATCATTCAGCCAGTTTGCATTATCTGTCAAACCATCAGGGCGATTCCACTGAGCTGATGCGGCTCAAACTGAGACAACTGTGAAGGGCTGTACGTTGTACTATTTCATAATCATTACTGTCATGTGAGCCTTAACAACACTGACACCTCCTAGTCGAGTACGCAACATGCAAGTGAATCACTAACTAGTTATTTAATGTTTGATTTGGCCTGATCCACCCAGATGATGGAGTGAGTTAACGCATTAATAACGTGGCAAACGTGATTAATTATTAACGGCACTAATGTTTGTCATGTTTTTTCCCAGTTTAACCCTTTGAATCATTCTGAGTTCCAACCTGAAGCCCAGCTGCTCGTGTGTGACTGCTGGGACTCTGCAACTATAGTCCTCTCAAATAAGCACACGTCTCAAACATCGAGTCAAGCCATCAAGTTCCACTTTTGATAAAGGTTATTTCCAGCTATAGCAAATGTTTCTTTTCCTTTTTTTCTAATTTTCTTCCCAATTTACTCATATCCAATTCTACCCACTAGTTAGGACTCCCGAAGGCAAACACAAGCTTCCTCCAAGTCATGTGAGGCAAGTCACTGCATCTTTTGTAACTGCAGCTAATGCAGCGTCATTAGACAGCTGAACGCACTTGAAGGAGAACAATAATGGCCAGTTCTGTTAAAGAGTGACTACACCCCTCTATTTCCAGCCAGCTCCACACCTGGCTCAACTTTAAAAAATGCTCAAAAAATGGGAGGGGCACACTGGGAGGGGCACTGCAGTGATCTATGAGTTTAGAAGTGGGGCTGCGAGGGAAACTGGGTGGGCTGGGCTGCTGTGTTTATAGAGCTAGCGTACGTTAGCTACCAGAAAATATGGAAAGTGACAGAATCAAATGGCACTTTTGCAACTGAGAGTCATACGAGGTTGACGATTTTTCTCCACTACCATCCCCATCTTCGACGAGGGAAGGTGTTTCTGATCAGGCACTGCGTCTTGAGCCTTAACAGCATGAGTCGCTGACTCAAGCCGCTGAAGAGTTAACGTAGTGCCAGAAAATGATTAGCAGCGAGTGGCAGAGGCGTCCGAATGGTGGAACATTCCCTAAAACAGTGACCGCTAGCTTCTAATTACCTGTTCAGCAGGTCCGTATTCGATATAACCCGAGTCCTGATTTCTAAGATGCACTGAATTCTGAATGAATAAAGTGGGTTTCTTTGAACTCTGTCTAAGTTTCATTCAGTTTGACATCAACGTCGCAGACTGCGTCACCAGTCAGCCAGGGTTTGCTGCAGTGGCTCTAAATCCTTACGTTCTGCAAGCAGTTCATGGCACTTACCGGTGTTACATCGGTTCAGTTCCCACTCGAATACAGTTCATACAATTCAGTTCCCACTTAAATTCACATTCCCATTTATAAATCTAACCGTCGGGCGCTCACTGAACAGAAATCAACAGCAAGCAACACTGGAACTGCGGACAGCGGGAAAAAATAGTCAGAGAAAGGCTGCACAGATGAAAGGTTGACACAGTCGGTAACAATGGCAATTTAACATGAACCTTTCCTGAACCGTGTTGCAGTGTTTCTTGCCGTTGACGTCTGTTCAGTGAGTCACACCCGAGAGTTTGAGTTGTGAAGGGAAATGTGAATCAGATGCAACACCGGCAGCTTTATGGAGACTCGCAGAAATCCTTACTTAATCAGTCCGACATCTTTATTACAAACAAAGCTTAGATTAACTGGGTTATTTACAGCTGGTACAGACAGCTGGCATATCGCAGCCCTGTGAGGTGGTGCTGAGGGTTTTTAGCTCAGCGCGTGAGTGTGGTTATCTCCTCACTCTCGGCTCCTGTGCTTTCATATTTATGAGTGCGGCACGAGTAGGGCGTCATCAGGGGGCGGTAACGTTGTTTGACTCATTTACATACTGTGACGTGTCATGGTACTTTGGTAAGAAGACACATCGTCCGCGCCTATAGCAGAGCTGAACCAGAGGGGGTGTTGCAGAGGCGGAACTGACCACGATAAAAATGATATTTTTACAGTTTGGAAATATGTGTTCACATTTTAAACAAGGCTGGTATATTTTATTATTAGAGAGCAGTGAATTTCAGCTGTTAATGAAGGGTGTAGTGACTCTTGCACTGGCTAGCATCGCACTGAGTCATGGGGGGGGAGAGGGTCTCTCAGCCACAGATGGCTGTAGCACCACCGGGGATCGAACTCATTTTCTCCTAATGGTAAAGCCAATGCTTAGACGGCTGAACCAGTCAGAACCCCGCAAATATCAGTTACAATGTCTACCATATCAGTAATATCAGCATCGTCAGCACTGGAAGACGCCTTTCAGCCAGATAAATCAAACAAATCAACAATCCACAAAGTAATAAAATAGGGCTGCAACTAAGGACTACTTTCAAAATCAGTTTGTCAATTGTGGCTTTTATTAACTGATTAGTTGGGAGACGAAAACCTGCAGATATTAGTCTGACAGTTAAGGTTCAACACGGAACAACACATCCAAGTTAGAAATGGGCTGTGTCCTGTATTTCTCTTCTAATGTTGAAGCAAAAATGCATTACATAGTTTCTGTTCGGTTAGTCGCATCATGTAATGAAATCACACACTTCCAATCCAGTCATCAGCTGCATCAGATACGGAAACCTAAAGCAGCTCATTACACATAAAACAGGAAGCTAACACCCAGAAAAAAAAAAAAACTAAAAATAACCAAGCTAGTCTGTGCGCATTAAAGCATAAGCAGCCCTAATAAATGTATAATTTAGCTGAGCAGTTAGGCCACCAGTTTGAAACTGCAGCTCACTCAGCCAGCGCTGCTTTTTCTCTCTGCTAACCTAAAACAGAACTAGATGAAAAGCAGACAGCAATGCACTTTTTTTTTTTGCTTTTCACTGCGATTTTAATAGGATATTAGTATCTCACTGTGCCGAGTGTCTGCCTTGAATGCACTGCATATTCTCTTGCCCCTTACATGTAGAGGAAACCAGCTTTTTAGTAGGCATTAAAGTGTTTTTTATATCTTGCACTGCAGTCTCCACTATTCTGCATTTCCAGTCAAGTGATGTAAAAGGGATGTGCAATCTACATCAAGCCAACCGATCGATAACTTGATTCGCGGATATCATATTATCAACATTATTGATAACAACGATTAGCTGCTGCATAACAAAAGCAGCAGTAAAGAGGAAATCTGCAGTTCCCCTCCAAACAAGATGTGACACATCAGTATGACTGTAAGAGGGTGCAGCTGTCGAGAAGTTGGAACATGTAGCCACTATTTTAGGAGATGACGGTGATGAACATCCTGAGTTCACATCATTTTATATTCAGATTCGAGCTGAACTATTGAAGGTAATAAATACTGGTGAAGCTTTTTAGTACAATCATATATTACAAACTTCAATGTGTTTTAAGTAGAAAAAAGTCCTTCTTCAGGGTCAAATTAAAGAGAGAAAAACAAATCCAATTAAGATTAAGTGACCCTTATTGTCCCACAACGGGGAAATTTCACCTCCGCATTTAACCCATCCATGCAGTGGAACACCCAAATACACACTAGTGAACACACACACTAGGAGGCAGTGAGCACACTTGCCCTGAGCGGTGGGCAGCCCTATCCACAACGCCCGGGGTGCAGTTGGGGGTTGGGTGCCTTGGTCAAGGGCACTTCAGTCCCGTACTGTTGGCTCAGGGGATCGAACCCGTGACCCTCCGGTCACAGGGCTGGTTCCCCAACCTCCAGCCCATGACTGCCCCAATGTTATAAACCACACAAACTAATGTGATTACTTACACACACACACACACACACACACACACACACACACACACCATCTAAGCCGCTTATCCTTCTGGGTCGCGGTGGGGTGCTGGAAGGCAGGATACACCCTGGACAGGTCGCCAGTCCATCGCAGGGCAGACAGGCGTGTGAGACACATTCACACACACACACACACTCACACCTAGGGGCAATTTAGCATTTCCAATCAGCCTGACTGCATGTTTTTGGACTGCAGGAGGAAACCGGAGTACCCGGAGGAAACCCACCCGGAGGAAACCCACCACACAGAAAGGACCCTGGTCGCCCGGCCGGGAATCGAACCCAGGCCATTCTTGCTGTGAAGCGACCGCACTACCCACCGTGCCACCATGCCGCCACTAATGCGATTAATCACAGTTAATTATTTTTAATTGTTTGACAGCCCCAGTAATGATACAGCACTGATACAATGCAGCGTTACATCCCAAATCAATTTTCAGATATTTCATAAATTCAAGTAATCAATGCTCTTATATGTGACGCTGATTAAGACCGTGAAGCAGTCCAGCAAAGCAGCACCTTTCATGGCCTTTTCTTACTGTTAACTAGGGCTGAATGATTTTAGGGAAATAGCGATTAGCGATTTTTTTCCAACCTATACTGTGATTCTATTTTTATAGAATGAGATCCAGACCTGTTTTTTTTGGCAAAGAAGACCAGAATATCCACCTTTTTTTGGCTTGACCCCTGAATGGCCAAACTGCCAGTAAGTCGTGGTTGTGATGTCAAAACACATGGAGGTTTGGCTGCCTCTGATTGGTCCAACTTATCTACAGGCATTTCACAAGCTCTGGTCTTAAAACTTAAGACGTTTCTGACAATGTACACACTTAAAGATGGTTCTTCAACGGTTCCTTAGTAAAGACAGTGATTCTACATAGAACCACTAAGATCCATCAGCATGCTTAAAGCGTTCTTTGCGCGGTGAAATGGTTCTTCAGATTCACGTGGCTCTATATAGCACCAAAAAGGTTCTTCTATTACTACAAGCTTCGCACCATAACAATAGCAGAACCCATTATGGTGCTATATAGAACCATATACAACACACACATCTTTATGCAAAGATTTCTTTAAGCATGCAAATGGATCTTAGAGTGTTCATGGTTCTACATAGAATGACTGTCTTTACTAAAGAACCAACCTTTTAAGAACTTTTAAGAACCACCTTTTTTAAGAGTGTAGGCTATAAAAAATTGCAGCTCTTGCGATTTGAAAATTGTGCCCTCTTAAATTGCGACTGCGATATAAAAACGATTAATCTTTCAGCCGTACTGTCAACACCTGAAAATGCTGAAGTTTTCAGTATTCAATATTCAAAACATAAGGTCATGTGAGTTTGGGCCAACAACATCAATCAACAACAACAAACTAAATTTAATTAGCAATTACAACTCAACAGTTACATCTACAAGTAATTAAATGTTACATATTAAGGATATGATGCTCTTGTACACTAATGTTCCCCAGTAATATTTTAGAGAACTTTCAAAAATGTATGGAACAGTGCTGTAACGCTACGTTGTTATTACACAGGTACAAACCACTGTAATGAATAAAATTTGATTAAAAAGAACGGTGGGTCTCATTCGCTAATATCTTCCCAAGCTTTTTCTTAAATGTGTTCTTGAGAAAGGTCCTGAGAAAAAACCGACGTCAGATTCGTGTTGTGTTCTTAAAGCACAGCTTTATTCACACTTTTGTGCTCAAGTGTGTGTAGATTCTGTTCTTACCCAAGAACAAATCCCAAATAAGAAAACACTGGTGACTGTCAGAGCCTTCGTGAAAACTGCGTAAGTGGGTTTTATGAAGACATTTCTTCTTCAGAACGGTTGGTGAATGAGGCCCAATGATTGCACAGTTCCTGCTCAACCCTAATCATAAAAATGACACCATTTCTATTTGCCACTTCCATTAAACTAGTCATTCTACAAGAGCTAACAGCGTCATATTCTGTGGCACAGTTCCAGATCCAATAGAGCAACACTGACAGATTTTTAAGGATCACATAAATCAGACCTAAACGCACTGACTGGAATTAGCAGATGATGCACTCACTGAAAATGGCAACTCTGCTGCATCATTGCATCATGCGAAAACAAAGAGTTTAACTCACTTGGAGTCCAAGAAGCCCATGTCCACCGCCCAGGCAGTAGTGCTGTGATTCTCCTGCTGCCGAAACAGAATGTGCCACCAGAACGCAGAGATGTGTAGCATGTGTCCGAGAGCCTGCCTCGTTTCCAGCTTTACCTTAGCCCACCGCTCATACAGCACATCTAAACCACAAATAAACCAAACAATAAAAAATACACAACATAATACGGCACCTTTCTCTCCTCCAAGCCCTGTGTGTTCCATCACTCTCCAATAGCTTTTGCAAGAAAAAAATAAACCCATGCAAACAGCCAGGCTGCATTAAAATGCTTTATTTATATTTTCTGAGTTACTGAGATCCACTCAATTAAAGTAAAGTAGTACAATCTTACCAGGTGGTTCCATGTGAATATATGGAAAAGCATTCTGGTAAATCTACAAGGAGAATAAAAATGAAATGTGAGTAAAAAGAAAAGCACTCAGAATGACATCACTATGTCAATAACTAAAGTTTGTCTTTCGATGAATGATTAACTGAAAAATCTAACCCCATAACAGTAGATTGGCATGTCCAGTGTTTGAAGCTTGCTTGCAATGGAGCTCCGAGAACGTAACAGAACTGTGTCCCCCAAAAGACTCAGAGCGACACAGACTTGCATTATTTGTTATCTACATTAGCCTCGCAGCTCCAGTGCAAAACTGTAAACAAACTTTGGACACATAACATTGTTTGGCACAATCAACTATGTCTGTGGTGAAGAGCACCTCTGATTATTCTGAACTGTTCCCTTTAAGGGGGAATTCCACCCATTTTTTAAAATACTATTGTACAATTAAATGGGTAAGATGTAAACAGACGCACTCAAACGTGCTCTGATGTGAAATGATTAACTGAAGAGAATGTTACCGGCTCCGAATCGTTTCCAGTGATGGTGAGAGGAACCAGATGCCCGAAGCGTTTAGTGCCTCTAAAAGCACCCTCAAAGGAAGTTATTGCATGAAATGGTAACCAATACTCTGCTGGATGCCTAAAACATTCAGTGCGTATACATGCACTCAATAATCCGATCATGATCGGATTTCTGCAGTTATCCAAATATTCAAATGGCCATGTAAACACCATACTCCGATCTAGAAATCAGATGAAGAGAGCTGGATTTTAGCTCAGTAATCAGATTTCTCAGTACATGTAAACTCATACTCCAATTTCTCAGTCTGCGCATGCGCGAGATCAGATGGTGGATGTCGCAAGATGGCAGCAAAACACTGTTGGAGCGGCGCTGAAACCAAACACGAAATAAAGGATTTGAATATTCTTCATCTTCTAGATGATTTAAGTTCATATTTTCAGAGAAAGTGGCGCGATGTTTTTAAAAAAAGCCGCGGTATGAAGTTTGAGATTTACGTTAAGTTTACGCCACGTCTTCTTCTGTGAGTTTATTGGCTGGTTGCAAAGCAGAAATCCGATTACTGCCTGACTCATGAAGACCTGGAGTTTCCCCATTATCTGATTACTCAAGTGCATGTAAACACGTTGATGGGATTACTGACAAAATCTGATTTTCTGCAGCTATCGGACTATTGAGTGCATGTAAACGCACTCACTGTTTCTGATACTTTCTCAAGAAGGTTTTGGCTTGAAATGTATATTTTAACAGACATCCAAGGCGGAGGGGTGCATGTGGGGTGTCGTGAGGCAAAACAGTCCGAAAAAGAAAATACATTTTCTAGATCTACCACTAATTCACCATCATCAACATTATATATAAACACTCAGAAGACACATGTATGTTCACTGGTGGTAAATCAAATGGCTATATTTGTGTTGTAGATATCACAACCCCTGGGTTCTCTCACCACCACTGCAAGGAAATCCGAGTCGCAGGTTTCTCAACAACGACGCATCCTACAACAAACCACTCTGAATGACTGTTTATATCCCAACAACTGAATTATACAGAAATTCTGAAAAATTGGTGGAATTCCCCATTTATACTGGTTTGCTTATTCACACTTACAATCTTGGTCTTATGTCGGACCACATCTGGACCCTCCTCAACATCCGAGTCTTCAGATTCTAACACTGTAGGTGGGAAACTAAAACACAAGAACAGGTAACATATGGAGGACTCAGACACATGGAGAAAAGACTGAACTAAGTTAGGCAGAGTCAAATAACCCGGAATAAGTAACCGATCAGGGTTGAACTGGGTGTGAAGGTGCAATTTAACTCTTCTGACCACCTTAACTGGTCGGACTGCTCAGATGGCTGCTCCTAGATCAGGTCAGTCTGTCCCAAACCAAAGCTAAACAGCCTACTGAGTCACTTCTCGTGGTTACGCCCTCGATGAAGGTGGGGATGCTGTTATATCTTACAGTATCTAAGGTCTGCAGCCTCACGTGTGCTGGTTTAAGGAAAGGTATTTAGTGTCAGCTAACGGTAAAAAGTACACATCCCGCCGAACAGCGGAGCACTCTAACCGAGTGCCTAGGGGAAGTGAGGAGAGGCGAATTGGAACCAGGAACGCTACCGAGAGTTAGCCAGCTAGCCGTGTTTGAGAAGATGGATGTGTCTCAGAAAGCAGGGCTTATCAGCGATTTGCTTAACTTGAGCCCAAAGTGAAGACTCTGTACTGTGAATTCTCCTCTATTTTTACCTTATTAACGCAAAGTTGTCAGGCTGACTCACAAATCCCGCTTTGTTCAGCAACTTATTTAGCTTATCTAGTTACCCTCCTGTCTGTCTCTACTCGTCGGCCCAGGCTGGCGTTCACTCATCGGCTCTGCGCTCACAAATGTGCTCAAAACATTTCTTTAAAAAATCAAACGCTACAGCTAAATAGCTAAGACATTAGTGAAGCCACGCGAATGTTTAATACAATATGTGATATGACAAACCTGTCCATGAATGCCGTTCTTTCAGGAGGAGGGATGTTTCCTGAAACATAGAGCCACGCACTCCTAACTAGGGTTACCTCCTCAGTCACTGTACAGATGCAGTGAGGCAAGCTGTGGTACGAACAGGCGGTAGCGCCCTCTGTCGGTGATTCAGTTTTGGAGACAAAGGAGAAAAAGACAGAGAATGTGTACAAAGTCTGTTCACTCGGCAGCCATTTCGAGGCATATAAGACCAACTTCTTTCCCGTTGGATGAGGAGAGACGTAAATATGCGAAACCTGAAGGTCAAATTACCGTTTCAAAAACATTTGAAATCAGTAATAATATCTTCATGTTCTGGCTACTGCGCTTGCGCAGATCCCCACTCGCTTGCTGTGTAACCAGCAAGCTGATTGGCATGTTTTCTTGATGGGCGGGGCTTACTCGGTAAACAAACGCTATGTTGAGCGTTTCGAGCGTTCTCATTCATATTTCGACCAGCGGCCGGTCTCCTCGCTTATAACGCCTCTGATGCGTCAGTACTGTCTGCCGGGGTTGTCAACCGCTAGAGGGCGCCCCCGAGCGAGTCCAAAATATAATCGTTGTGGTTTTTAAATAAAAGGATGTATTAATTAAGCAATAGAATGTGAGAGGGAGTGTGTTATCGCGAAATAACATCACGGCTGTGATTTGGTCGCCGTAGATCATCACAGCCGTGATGTTATTGGCGATAACACACGACCTCGAGTGTTCTATTGCTTTTATACAACAGTTAAATAAATAAAGTAATAAATTAATAAACTGGGCTGTGAACGCGGCGTTTAATATGTTTTAATGTTCGCAGTTCCTTCACCAAATTATAGTTCCTTAACGAGCAGCTCGTTGCTACGTCAGAGTAACGAGCTCCGTCCACTCGCTGTACAGCCGGCAGTTCGTTCTCCAGCTCCTCACACTAAAATCCCAAACTGTCATCACCACTGAGCAGCTTTTTTGTTTTTTACTGCGGCAGTTTTATGGCTCAGTCCGATTTGGTCAGACTCTGTAGATCAGACTACACGTTTGGCGAATGGTACTGGGTTCATTTCTGGTTGATTCCAGGTTGTTTAGCTGCTCTTCTGTCACAGCTGCCGACTGAAAAGCTGCTCAGTGGTGATGACAGTTTGGGAATTTAGTTTCGTCTCATCTTCAACCAATAGGCTTGCACGGCCGGAACTAACGGTTGTATAATTTCGATGTTATTTCAGTTGGAATATTTTAACACCGTTATTTTATTCTTGAGCAATTATAAACTCCACTTATAGGATTTTATAACGGCGCCTAGTGTACGTTCATGACGTCATGAGCGCAAACCGCTTCAGTCAGCCAATGAGCCGATCCTCTTGCCAACCAATCAGCGATTAGTAGCAGTAATGCCAACCAATCAGCACTCAGTAACAGTAACTCTTAATCAGCACTCAATAGCAATAATGTCAGTATCCTGCTGCCCAAAACTGCAGAAAAAAATGAAATACAGTTTGTTTTTTGCATTTTAGTGAAATACATCCTTCTACTTTGCACTTTGTCCTGGACCAATGGTTAGAAACTATTTTTCCTTTTTTCAGCCGTTCACCCCCGTTCATTTAGGACACGTTCTCGGGCGCCCTCTGGCGTTCTGCAGTCATGTTGCTGCTATAACGTGAGTAATACAGGGAGATTCACTCGAAAGAGGCCCCGAATATTCTGTAATAACTCTCGCTAGGATGAAGCAATCTGAACGAAACAACGTGCAATGTGCTCCTCAGTATATGGAGCTTCGAATAAACCGGGATGCCCCTGCATCGGAGCGATGAGGTAGGCGCCGGACAGCCGTCGTGACGTTAACCCTCCGTTTGCCCCCCCCCCTCCGCACCCCTTCACTCAGGCTCTCTTAGGCCGTCCGAAAATCGAATACACATGCGTCAAGATATGTCGCGTATGTTTTTGGTTCAGATTGCTTCATCCTAACGGGAGTTACAACAGAATATTCGGGGCCTCTTTCGAGTGAATCTCCTCCCTAGGACGCCGTCAGACTCCCCTTAAACTGGTTCTGATACAGCAGCGTTTTTGTTGACTTGTGTGGAGTTATCAAAAAAAAGTGGTTGCTTGGTTTATCGAAACAAACTTATTTCCCCCACCTACTCTAAATAAAACACAAACGTGGTGTTTGTAATGGAAATGTCATCTTTGATACGCGCGATGTTTGAGTGTCGTGGTTCTCCGAACCTGAAGGTGGCAGTGAGGAGCACTAGATAAAGAGTCAGCAGCCTCGAACTCAGCCTTAGCAGAACGGGACGAGGCTTGTTTTAAAGCAGGTAGTTGTAGATCTAATGGGGTCTGAGAGGCGCTCCAGATGATCTGAGTCGGTTCTACATGCATGTAAACTCCTGTTCCCGACAGGATTCCAGCGACGCGGAGTCTGGGCTGTGCTGTGCTCCGTGTCCGCCGCTCGGCAGCCGTGTCCGAGTCAGTTGAACACCATGGTTGAGAACTCCCCGTCTCCTCTGCCCGAGCGGGCGATCTATGGCTTTGTGCTTTTCCTGGGTTCGCAGTTCGGCTTCTGTAAGTTTCACCTCTTCCTGCTGAAGGAGAACTACACCGATTTTTCAGAATTTCTGCATCATTCAGTCGCTGAGTCGTGCAGAGTGGTTTGATACAGAAGCCACACAGTCACATGGTTTTTACTTCTTTTTTCTGACGCAGCGGGTTATTTTCTTTTGTTTTCTAAGAGATCTCGAGTTGATTATCATGATATGACGAATGTTGGTTTCTCGAGATCTTGAGATGTGTATGCCATTATGCTGACGTAACAAATGCTGTCTGAATAAAACAGTGTCCTTCAACAGTCCTGTACATCTAGTATAATCTGATTTTATATATATATATATATATATATATGTGTGTGTATGTGTATATGTATGTATGTGTGTGTGTGTGTGTGTGTATATATATATATATATATATATATATATATATATATATATATATATATATATAGCTGCTGTCAGAACTCTCCATTTTGGTCATTTTTCAGTTTTTGGCATTTTGAAAATTCCTGTTGCCCTTTACATTGTGTGTAAATTTCATGATGAAACAACCCAGAATGACTTGGAAAAAATTCTGGTTCCATTGACTTACATTAAAAGTAAAGTATGTTTTTTGCTTCTCCTGTAAAGTTACCATTTTGGAGATACAAGGTTTCTTTCTGACAGCAGCAACATAAATGTGTGTGTGTGTGTGTGTGTGTGTGTGTGTGTGTGTGTGTATTGATATTCTATCCCCTGTGTACCCTGCATCTTATTTATCTACATCACATATTGCATAAGTGTAAATATATACTTGTATACACTTTTTTGCATATTTAAGAAGTACAAGGGGGCTGTGCACCTAAGATTTTCACTCACCTCACGCCTGTGTAAGTGTGATGTGACAATAAAACGTGATATTTGATTCTCGAGAAAACAACATTTGTTTTGTCATGATAATCAGTGGTGGATGAAGAACACAAACCATGTGCTTGAGTTAAAGTAGAGATACCCAGAGTAAAATATTACTCCAGTAAAAGTAGAAGTTCCTCCCTTTAGACCTCCACTTGAGTAAAAGTACAAAAGTATTTGCCTTCAAATGTACTTAAGTATCAAAAGTGAAAGTACTAAAAGATTAATTATGACTCTGATGTCCTATTATCATTTTTGTAAGAAGACTCGCTTCATTAACTCATTTAAGGTAAAAATACTCCAGTGTCTCTCTTGGTAAACCAGTCTTTTAATAGAATGTCATTAATTAGTGACACTGATGTCTATTAAAATTATCATAAAAACACTGAAGGCAAACAGTTTCCATTAGGTAGAACTGAGTGGCTCTGAAATAACCTTTTACAAACAAGCAAAGTTTCAGTTTAAGATTTATTTACAAGTTTAAATTTAATAAAAACTTTAAATTCAGGTTCACAAATGAGTTTCCTTTACTAAACTGCATCTGTAGGTCTCTGTTCATAAATATAAACTAGCAAAACAAATTTACTATAAAATGAAACTGTGTTTGTATAAATTCAGAAAAAAGACACGTCAGTCAAAACTGCATGTGTGTACATAATTCTATATTGTGGTCTATTTAGACAAAGTTAGATTAGTTCATCATTTATGCTGAATAGACACTCCCAAAAAAGGCTGCTGCTCTGATTTCACTTTGAAAAGTGCTAGGTTTTATGCACACATGAGCCGAAAGGAACGACAGATTTCTCATAATGTAGTGGAGTAAAAAGTGAGATATTTGACTTTGAAATGTAGTGGAGTGAATGTAAAAAGTCACCCAAAATGGAAATACTTCAGTAAAGTACAGATACACAAAAAAACTACTTAAGTACAGCAACTAATTACATTTACTTAGTTACTGTCCACCACTGATGATAATGACACAAATATCATGAGATCTCCAAAAAAACAAATGAAAATAACTCATTGTCATGAAAAAACAGAGTAAAACAAAACCATGTGAATCTATGGCCCTTTAGAGCTTCTGTTTGATGTGAAATGGTGCAAGTCAGAATTCTTTACAGTGGTGGTGAAGGGAACCAGGGCGATCCTGTCTACAATGCAACTATAGCCATTTTATTTACCACAGAGTCAAGCAGTGAACTGACACGTGTCTTCCAAGTTTTTATGTGTAATGTTGATGATGGTAACATAATGATAAATCTAAAAAATATATGTTTACTCTGGGGAATATTTTTGCCTTACACCACCCTGCATGTACCTCTCCACCATAACTGGCTTGAAAAATACATTTTAAGCCAAAAGCCTCTCTCAGAAAGATTGTAAAACAGTGTCTCGGGCATCAGGCAGCATATTTATAACAGTTTCACGTAATACCTTTCAGTAATGTAGCTTTTAGAGGCACTAAACACTTTGGACATCTGGTGCCTGTCACCACCAGTGTGAACAATTCTATGAACAATTTTGATTAGAAATTAGATTTTACATCGAACTCTGGTTACTTTGTTTACGTCTTATTGATTTCATTGTCTTGAAGTCGTGAAAAAACAGTGGAATATTTCAAGAATCATTTCAAGAATGTAGATACACAGTATTAGTATGTTAATCAATGACAGAGCTGATGTGTTTTCCGTGTCTCCCTCTGCCACCCAGTGCTTTATTTAGTATGGGCGTATATTCCTGAGTCCTGGCTCCACTCTGTTGGATTGACGTACTGGCCTCAAAAGTATGTGGATCGTGTTCTTTGTTAACCTGTGTGTATGAGATGGGGATGGGGATGGGGAGTGAAGTGGAGGGTGCTGTGTGTTTGTAAATGGTAACCAATTGTCTTGGGATTGAAAATTGAATGACACATGCATGTTGTCTACAGGTACTGGGCTCTTGCCTTGCCGATCTATCTACTGGTTGCTTTAACAGTGAGTTTGGTGGTACTGTTTGGAGTCAATATGATCAACACAGCTCCCCTGTTTTCTGTGGACAACATCACAGGTATGAGATCAGTTTTCTGTCAGCAGGGATCCCAGCTGGGGGAGTTGTTGGGCTGACCAGGGGCTCTAAGTGGAGGGGAGCCTCGAAACTCCCTCACTTAAAAGTTTGCTTAGGTGTACAGTTTTACGTTTGTGAGTAATTGGTGTCATTACTAAGTGAATATTGGTAAAATGAATAGGCTGAGACAGAATTTTGCATCCATAAGAAATATGAAGGCCTTCCCGACCTCTCAGCTTTACTAGATTTGATTGTAGCCAGTTGTGGTGACTGTTCCTGATAAAAAGCATGCAAACATATAGTTGATGTAATTATTTTCAAACATTTCAAAGGGATGGGTGGGTCTGCATTCGCCCTGAAATTCACTCCACCTGCAGGCCGCTCCATCCAGGCTTAGACTGAGACCTACAGCACATTATCCCGTATCCCGTTACCCTTTGCACCAGCAGGACAGCATTTGCTACACTGTAAATGTAAATTATACAGCTTCAACTATGGCATTTGGTTCTTCATAAAACATGGACTAGGCCATAAAAGACATGGCTAACATTGTAAATACATTGTAAATAGCACAGCCTTTTTTGCATGGGGAAAAATAAAGCAATAAAGTGAAAAGATAATCCTGAAGCCCTTATACCCCTCAAAACTTTACAGTACATTGCAGTACTTTACATATTTGTACCCCTGAAAATTTGCCTAATTTCCCAAAAGACTGGTGGAAAGAGCGAATTGTTACTTATTTCTAAAACTGAAGACTAAAAGAGAAGGTGTGTAAGTTCTCGGTTAATGTGTGAACCAGAAAAGAGTCTAGAAGAATTATTGAACCAAACAAATTGTTGCTGTTGAAGCTAGTCTAAGCTCCACTATAGTGAGCAACCAGCCAACATGGGACCCCCCCCCTCCAAATACTCTTGATTTGCATAAAATACTCATTTAATGACTCATTTAGTGATTTATGAAGTGCTGAATCACTCAAATTAATAAAGGCACTGAGATGTTTTAGGACAGGTGTCATGCATTACCCCTGCTTTGTGGAACATCCTTGCACTTCTCTGTGTTGAAAATCTATCAAAAGCTTTTTTTGTATTTATTTTGATTCCCTCATAGATCACTTTGCTAAGAGTCAGCGCCTGGATACTGGGGAGGATGGAGCCATTCCCAGACTTCGGGATGTGTCTATCACTGAAGTCAACCATCACTTCTACCTCTCACAACATGAACTCCAGGACCTCAGGAACCGAGGGCCCAAAATTTCTGATCTGCACTGATCCATACAGACAGGCAGCATCCAGGATCAGTTGTCGTCAGTCCAGGCTTTTGAGTTTGCTGAGGTTTTAGATGCACCTTTTCCATCACTCACTCACGACAGGACAGGCATTTGACTTCAAGATGAACTCTTGCTGAAGACATGGTAATCACATGACCCTCAGAGGACGACACCTCTCAATGCAGTGATGAAAAACTTTACCCAGACTGTTACTTCTCAGAAAATCTGCTTGAGTAAAAGTACTAGCCCACAAAACAACTTGAGAATTATTGTATTATAAAAGTATGTAATTTTGCAGTTTTTACTTATGACTGTGGCTGTAAAAAAGTAAAATATGCACTTTATACTTGTGTGTGGACAGTAAATATTGAAAAAGTGAATATTTGGTATCTTTTCCTGATCAAGTCAAGTCACAAGGCTTTTATTGTCATTCCATCTATGTACAGGTACACAGTGGAGTGAAATTACGTTCCTCCAAGGAACAACACGGTGCAGCATGAAACAAAATGGACAGTACAAAGTGCGAACGTGCAGACATAAGTGTGCAAAAAAATTAAACTAGAAACAATACAGTAAATACAATAAATAGAACAGACATTAGACACAGTAAACAGACAGGACAGTGCAGCAACGACACAGCACTCATTTCTGAGCATGAGGTAGTGGAATAAGGTGCAAAGATTATTTAACATGCTGTGATCTGTGAGTTTATGCAGTCAGATTATAACGTGAGCACAGCAGTTCCTGAGGTAGGATATACACAGTACTTGATAATAAATGATATTAAAGAATGTTCTGTAGATTTGATTGTTTTAAAACTTATATATAACACACCAACCAGACACTTCATTAAAACTACCTCCTTGTTTCTAAACTCATTGCCCATTTAATCAGCTCCACTGACCATATAGGAGCACTTTGTAGTTCTACAATTACAGACTGTCGTCCATTTTCTCTGCATACTTTTTTAAGCCCCTTTTCTCCCTGTTCTTCAACGATCAGGACCCCCACAGAGCAGGTATTATTTGAGTGGTGGATCATTCTCAGCACTGCAGTAACACTGACGTGGTGGTGGTGTGTTAGTGTGTGTTGCACTGGTACGAGTGGATCAGACACAGCAGGAGTTTTTAAACCGTTCAGTCTTGCTGCTGGACTGAGAACCAAAAGAATCCAGCCAACAGTGTCCTGTGGGTAGCGTCCTGTGACCACTGATGATGGACTAGAGGATGACCAACACAAACTGTGCAGCAGCAGATGAGCTATTGTCTCTGACTTTACATCTACAAGGTGGACCAACAGTATAGGAGTGTCTAATAGAGTGGACAGGGAGTGGACACAAAAACTTCAGGAGCACTGCTGTGTCTGATCCACTCGGACCAGTGCAACACACACTAACACAACAGTGTCCCTGCAGTGCTGAGAATGACCCACCATACAAATATATATAAATATATATGATATACCTTTTTCCAATATGTTCAACTCTACAAAAAAGGAATTATGTACTTAAATTAACAAAAAACTGTAAAATGTAATTTGACCAGTGGTGTTCGAGTTTTTTTGTATATATCATTTGTACATAGCAGCTCTCCCTCACATTGAGTGAAAAAATATGATGTATGGGCCAATAGAAATGCTCCAGACTGTACCTGATATAATATGTCTTCACTTTAACTTACATTCAATGTCCTTCTGTGAAAATGAGACCAGTATTACAACCCTGTTTCCAAAAAGCTGGGATGCCATGATATGCAAAGCATGCAAATCAAAATGGGGAAATAGTTTTCAAAAACATTGACATTTCTCAGTTTTAACATTTGATATATTGTCTTTGTACTATTTTAATGAAGTACAAGGTTTAAGTGATTTGAACATCATTGCAGCCTGTTTTTATTTACATTTTTCACAGCATCCCAACTTTTTTGGAATTTTAAATATGCATTATTGTCAAGAAACGGCTAAGTAATTGTTTGCAGTTGCTCACTCCAAAGAATTTAATTGACAATTCAATCAAATAATTGTATCAGCCCTAATTGACAACTGCTCTGTATGTGTCCTGATGGGGTCAATGGGTTCTCCATAGTGGATGTCGGTCAGGTTAGGGTCAGTGTTTCACCTCCTGGACTCATCAGACTACAAGTGAAATGGTCATTTCACTATCTACCCATCTCCGGACTTCACAGAGGGTCCTCAATCAGTCTGCTCACCTCTCCTGCCCTCACCTGTCCACTCCGTCCTGCCCTCCCTGCGACACCCCTCTGTCCTGGCCCTCCTGCAGACAGGTGAAGGGTCGATGGCCGTCGTGTCTGCAGATAACCCATCATAAACAAACAAGGCGGGTGTCGAGTGTCTGGCCAGTGATTAACCTCTGATACCTTCTGCTCGACCCTACTGCCCCACTGCCCCACTGCTCTTCATATACAGCTGTCAAAAAGTGTGGCTTTTTAAATGGTTTTTAATGAACCATTTTTTGTTTTGATGTGCGATAACTTCACATATTAAAGTAGAACCAGGTTTATCACATGTGTACATGTTTGTGACTGTACTATTTTGAGAATAATACCAAACCCCACACATATTAGACTTTAGGTTTGATTTCAACACTTAAACCTTTAAGATGTTTAAACCACTATTTGGCTATTTGGAAAACAATGTGTGCTTTTTAACAATAGTTTGGAAAAGAAAGCTCCCAAATCATTATTTTGGCTAAATTTGCTCTTCATACCGACCTTTGATAACCGTGAAGTCTTATAAAATTTCTTAAAATTTCTTAAAATTTCAAAATGTTAGATAATAGCAGTTTCATGTACAGCCCCTTTCCAAAAATATGCTGTGCAAAATGTAAATAAAAACAGAATGCAATGATGTCCAAATCATTTAATGCTATATTTAACTCTATATATTATGTTGAGACTGAGAAATTACTGTTTTTTTGAAAAATATATGCTGTGGCTGAGATGGAGAGGGGTTCGCCACTCTATGAAAGACTGTACACCAATTCTAGACTAACGTTTCTCAATGTAAAATAGTAAAGAACTTACTATTTCTAACATATCATCATCTACGGGACATAATATTATTAAATGATTCAGAAACATACAGGTTTTGGCAACATATGCTGCCATCCAGATGACGTCTTTTTCAAGGAAGGCCTTGCTTATTTCAGCAAGACAATCCCAAAATACATTCTGTACATATTGCAACAGCATGGCTCTGTAGTAAAAGACTCTGGGGGCTAAATTGGCCTCCCTGCAATCCAAACTTGTCACCTACTGAAAAGATTTCACACATCATGAAACGAAAAATATGACAAAGCTGTCTCTGAACAGTTGAGCAGCTGAAATCCTATATCAAGCAAGAATGGAAAAACATACTTTCAGAACTACAGCAGTGTCTCCTCGGTTCCCAAACACTTACAGAGTGTTGTTAAAGGAAGAGTTGATGCAACATAGTGGTAAACATTGTTTGGACTGTGCTGGGCTCATATTTTTCAGAAAACAAAAAATGTTTGTTTCAACAGTTGATATGTTGTCTCTGTACTATTTTCAATAGAATTTATACTTTAAATGATTTGCATTCCATTTTTATATACATTTTGCTCAGCACTCCAGCTGTTTTGGAAATGGCATTGTAAATAAAGGAAAATTGTTTGGGAGTATTCTGGACTAAAATTAGCATTTAGTATGTTATGTTTAGTATGCATGTCATGTTTTTGAACCACAAAACCCATCCTGTCTGCTGGCTTATCAACTATATTATACAGCAGTTAGTTCTGGCCACGCTAGCTAAATGGTTGAGAAGCATTCTGATGATACAGTGTTTGCGAAAACCGTGCTGTTATTTCACAAACACTATATCAATCCGCTGAGATGCTGTTGCTAAGCAACGACTTTGACAGCTGTAGGAGACGCTCAAGCCATTTAAATGTTTTTACTTCTTATTTTGCCACAAACAGAAAATGGACACTTTTAAGTTCACATTTGACCGACAGCCGATTTGGTCAGACTCTGAAGATGAGACAACACTAAATTCCCAAACTGTCATCACCACTGAGCAGCTTTTCAGTCAGCAGCTGTGACAGAAGAACAGCTAAACAACCTGGAATCAGCCAGAAATGAACCCAATACCATTCGCCAAACTAAATGGGCTGTAAGATGCTTTACAGACTGGCTGGAACAAAACAACATTAATACTGATCTGGCAAAAAATGACAAAACTGAGCTAAACTTGATATTGCGGCAGTTTTATGGCTCAGTCCGTACTTCAAAAGGTGAGGCTTACAGCAGACTGAGCAGCGAGTGAGCAGAGCTCGTTACTCTGACGTAGCAACAAACTGCTTGTTAAGGAACTATAATTTGGCGGAAGGAATTGCTAAAATTAAAACATATTAAACGCCGCGTTCACGGCCCAGTTTATTAATTTATTACTTTATTTATTTAACTGTTGTATAAAAGCTATAGAACTCTCGAGGTTGTGTGTTATCGCGAATAACATCACTTTTTCGGCTCGTGCCTGCGACCAAATCACAGCCGTGATGTTATTTCGCAACAACACACTCCCTTTTGTGTCCTATGGCTTAAATGTAGAGGCTGCTAAATACTGACATTATGTTCAGCTTCCTAGCAGTAGTGCTAACTGGCTCCCTTGGCAAGCTAGCAGGGCACATTTGAAACAGCCCACCCTCAAGTGTCCACCCCAAAGCATTTTTTCCCACCTTCAAGGTTCTTCATCAGAAAGGAGATATTTCTTGTCTTTTAAGCATAAAATTCAGTCTACAAACTCTGATGGCATCACTGTAGCAGATGAGTAGCCATTTTTACAGCATTACTTCAATGAAATAGTGGTTGAATATTTTACGTTTTGTACCCTTTAATTGAACCTTCGTATTATGTGGAAGTTCTTTAAAGTGTAACAGGCTGTTCACACTCATACATCTCATTTTTAAAAGTCTTCTGCACCAAAGAACCTTTTTTTAGAATATATTGATTTTTTTCAAAAATTAGTTTACATCAGTGGTGATAGGAAGCAGATGTCCAAAGCTTTAAATGCCTATAACATTGTTTTACAATAGTTTTAAGTGTTAAAGTGTATTTTTTAAAAGAAGTTTGTGCAGGGTGTTGTCCACATTACATACAAACACTCAGAGGGCAGATGTGGGTTGGTCTCCACAATGGACCACTTAACATCAAACCACTGTAAATGGCTTGTTAACATCTCAACAACTAAATGATTCAGAAATTTGTGGAATTAATTACTTACATCATGCAGTTCAGTCATTTTCAACTGCATTTCAAAATGTTGAGCATGTTGAGTTTAGTCCCTCGCTAAAGTCATGTTACATTTATATTTTCATTTGTGAATGGAGTCCTGTCCCTTCTCTGTGGAATGGTTTAATATATGATGATTGAACCACATCTCCTTTATAAATACAACACAAGGACAAATATATAAACATTTTTCATATCTTTATTTATGTATTACAGGTAGTTTTACATGATAGAAAGCACCAAAACACCTAACTGTGTCTCACAATTCAACTGTCAGCAACATTTTAACGCATTTTAAACCTAACATGACTAAAAACTAGAATCTAGATTAGTATAACATGTCCTGTACAGACTGTATGTGCACAAAGTTGTGCTGGTGTGAGTGCAGGATGTCACGGTGAGTCATGCCCAGGTTAAAGGTGTGTTTACGCTCTGCTTGGGTAAACAGGATCAGAGCTGTATGGACCTATAGGAGCTGTCCCAGTGCTGCTGTGTTTCCTGCTCCAGTCTCAGGTTATAATCCTCGCTCTCTTCTTACCATGCCTGCTTCCTGAGACATGCTAGCATGATCTCCTGTTCTTTCACAGGCTTGTTTCCAAAACAGCAGCCTCTTCTTCCTCAGCATGAGTGGAGCGTCATGGGCAAACCCAATGAGGGCTAGAAGTAGAAGCAGCAGGATAGAACCTAGTTGCATTATACCTACAGGCCATGGTTGCCAATCCTGGTCCTGGAGATCTGCCACCCTGCAGAGTTTAGCTCCAACCCCAATCTACCACACCTCATCCAGGTCATCAAGGCCTTCAGGGGCATCTGACTGTATGAGCCAGGTGTGTTGGATCTGAACTGTCCAGGGTGGTAGGATTGAGCACCCCTGGTCTAGGACAATGTTTCTTAGCCGTGCACTGGGCAACCTAAAACTGCACAGTTTCAACTATTCTCTGTCCCGACACACCTGATCCAGCTCATGAAGGGTTCAGATGTGTTGAGGCAGATAATAGTTGAAACTGTGCAGTGCTGTGGGTTGCCAGGAGCAGGGTAAAGAAAAACTGGTCTCACTCAGTGCTTCTCAGGCCTAGTCTTGGAATGCCTCTGCCCTGCTTGTTGTAGTGCAGGGATTTACAATTCCAGTCCTGCCAACTCTCCACTAGGCACATTTTTGTGCTTTGTCTCATCTTGCACACCTGACCGAACTCATTAACAAGTACCTCGTGAGCTGACTCTGGTCTGTAGAATAGGGAAAAGTGCAGCAGGACATAAAGCCACCAGGACTGAGATTGGGAACCCCTGGATTAGAAGAAACTCAAACACGGTTAAGGAATTCCCGTCCTGGAGGGCAGAATTCCTGCACAGTTTGTTGATTTTCCTGCTCAACCACATCTAATTTAACTCATCAGCTAATCGCCAGGTTTAGTTGGTGTGCTGAAGCCAAACTGTGCTGGACTCTGGGTCTCAGTTCCCCATGCCTGCTCTAAAACGGCAAAATCACCAACGTTGGTCCTGGAGATCCACCTTCCTGCAGACTTCCAGCTCCTAACCAACCCCACCTGATCCAGCTAATCTCTAAACGGTAGCTGGTTATGAGAAGGACAGCAACATTCTTAAAATCAATGTTTGTCAATACAACAACATTGTATTCCAAGTAATTCTGGCTCATTTGTGCTGATGCATGCAAAGGCAGTTGGTGTTTTCAAGTGGTTTCAAATACAAAATGTATTCAGCATATCAGGGTAAAAGTGTTGATATCTCTTGTCATAGCCTCATGAAATGAAAGTCAAAAGCAGATCCTAGTTAGTCTTATTCTGTGATGTTTTACACAGCAGTTTTTTTAAACGGGAAACATCGACTTTGATGATTTCCTCAGCTACAGAGTATGTGAATCAGTGTTTTACGAATGGGAAGATCACTGTGGCCCTCCAGGAGTTCTTCCTTAAATAAAGATTGAAGTACTTTCTAGAGAGAAATAAACCTCATAATAGTCTTCATTATCAATAATAATTGTCCTTTCAAATACGCCTCTATGCAGTGTAGGAGCATATCTGAAAATGCTCCAGGACTCTCGAATTCAGCATTTCTTTTGCTGTGAAAGTGAAGCCCCTAAACACAAATGGCTAGATGATCTGGATCAAGATGATCCTTGCTTTATCCTGAATGGGCAAAAAAGACCATGAAGCAGCACGAACATCTATGTGTGATTTGTCCCATTGACCTGATTTCATCAGCTGTATGAAGTTTCTTGTCAAAGCAGGCTCATAGTCTCCATGCTGGTAGTTCTTTTGGGTGGTCCCATTTAATGGGAGCTAAAACTCAGCCTCCATCACCTCGTCGTCGTCATCCTCCTCAGAACTGGAGTCGTCGTTGTAGAAGTGCAGCGTAGCCTGAACAGGGAAGCTGGCCAGGACTTTCCTTCCCAGATGTGATAGATACTCCTGGATTTTAGATCTGGGCAGGAACAGCCTGTTTGGTGTAATCAGAGAAAATGTTTCTAAGCAAAACATGTATGATACAGTGAGTAAACATCTTTTTAATGACCTACGAGTTTACTCTCAGTTTCTAACTGCCATCAAACTTGTTAAGACAATGTCGAATAATGTAGGATACAATTAAAACTGCAGCTTCTGTGAATTGAAAATTGCACTATTTCAAACTGTGATTTTTATATAAAATTTGTCTCTAAATGTATAAAGCTTATATTTGGATATTATGGACACTGGAACACAGTTAGGCACAATTTCCACTTTAACTGCATTTTCTGGATGTTTTCCCCCAAATACATACTGTAAAATGCTATTTTTTTCACACAGTACCAGTTTAAAGAAATTCATAAATGCATTTGAACAATTTTGCTATATCTCAATAACAAAATATTGTAAATTGGATTTTAAACTGGGTAGCTATGCAGTGTTCAGTTAATGATATGCAGTAGTACAGTACTACACTAATGTTAAACTTATCACTCATGAACATGTCCATTACTAGAGAGACTGCTCAGTTAGATCATCCTTCAAAAAAGCTCAGTAACACTGAGATTAATAACTGATCAACACACTGATTTATCAGTCTACTTAAAGCTTTAGCAGAGCTCAGTTACACTGAGATTAATAACTGATCACATTGATTTATCAGTCCACTCAGGCTTTAGCAGAGCTCAGTAACACTGAGATTAATAACTGATCATCACATTGATTTATCAGTCTACTCAGGCTTTAGCAGAGCTCAGTAATACTGAGGTTAATAACCGATCATCACACTGATTTATCAGTCAACTCAGGCTTTAGCAGAGCTCAGTAACACTGAGATTAATAACTGATCATCATATTGATTTATCAGTCTACTCAGGCTTTAGCAGAGCTCAGTAACATTGAGATTAATAACTGATCATCACATTGATTTATCAGTCTACTCAGGCTTTAGCAGAAACTTCAGTGTTTGTAAAGAATCCATTTGTTAAGTTCCTGTTTAGAGTCTATCTAATTAATGTATTTGCTGCAAATCATGCACTCATATTAAAACAGTTAATAAACAAGGATTGATGGTGTTTGTATAAAGTAACTGTATTCTGTCTAATGCCTTTTCAAATTGTTAGGTACAAATGAACAAGAATTTGCTTGATGCTTTCGGGACATATTAAATTAATCCAGTTATTTTTGTTCTACTATAAATTTCTTATAGTAAACGTATAATGTACACGTATAAACGTATTTAAAATGTATATTTACAATATTTTGGTCTACCTACAAGGCAGATTTGTCATTATCTTTTAGACAAGTAGAAGTCAACACAACACCCACCTCACTGGGTGATGAAAACCTTGCATGTCCTTTGAGGCCTGTCTGTTTGGTCCGGTCGCTGTCTACAGTTTTAAAAAGAAGCAGCTTATCTTTAACAAATCTCCATCTGTAATACATTCTTGACAAGCTGTGAGAAGAGAAGGCTTTACCTTTTCAGGCTGAGGGTCTCTTCCAGTAAGAGTCCATGGTCTCCAAATTACTGGAAACCTAGAAGCAGAACTGCAAACTGTAAATAAAAACAGGCAACTACACATTGAGAAGTTAGTGATTAAGTGAATGAGCATGATCTTACCCAGCCAGCTCACCCAAGGCTCGTGCACGGCCCTGTGTGTTGGCATGGCCGAGTCCAGGTGAGGTGATCCCGTCCACAACGTGAGGGAGCATCCTCTCCCTTCTGCCCACAACTTAGACTGAGAGTGAGGAAAAGAGAGGTGCTCCTCCTCTTAGTACTTTTACCCCCCCACCTCCTCTCCTACAGACCACCACAGCACCTGATGACATCATCAGAATAAATTCACGCCCTTAGAGTGAAAGAAAACAGGAAACTGTGCAGTGCAGGAGGACTACCGTGCTGGAATAAGAAAATTTCCTGTCAATCAATACTATTCTAACTTTTAAAGCCTATATGACTGTCCCTTACTTAAATAAAAGTAAGAAAAAAAGTAAAAAAATACTGGAGTAAAAGTTGAAGTATGATTAGTTGAAGACTTAGATGTTTTACTTAAGTAGACGTGTAAAAGTACATGCTTATAAATGTACTTAAAGTAAAACACACACACACACACACACACACACTTTCGAAGCCGCTTATCATTCTGGATCGTGGGGCGGGGGGAGTGGGGGCTGGAGCCTATCCCAGCGGTCATTGGGCGGAAGGCAGGATAAAGTAAAACAGTTAAAATATTTAAAAAATCATTTCTAATAAAATTTTTGTTTCTAATTTTTTTATCTTTTTATTAAGGATTAGACGTACACGTCATCAGCTGAGCGTACATAATGGTTTATACAAGAACTGGTATAACAGGCATCATCCACAAAACGTCTAGAACGCCCAAACATGTTTGCAATTTTAACTTCCTTAACAAGAATTTGAGATGGACATTGATGAATCATTGATGGAAGAAAAAAAAAATGTCGATTTTTATTTTAGCTGTCAATACTGCACATCAGATCAAATAATCCCTTTAAGTATAAGCAGGGCCAGAGTGGCTTTTCAAACTGGGAGTTACATGATGCCGACCAGCCAACACTCCACACACACACTCATCACACGATCCTGCAATGTCATTATGTCAGGCTATAGGCTACTACTAACATCAGCGTCATCACCCTACATATTCTGGCACTTAAGTCCTCACACAAAACAATAGTAACCAATCAGAAAGCTGGACTCAGAGAACATGACAAAACTAAGTTAAAACCACACAGCTGGGAGACGACATGAAAGTTAAATCAAACAGCTGATGTGCAAAAACGAGGAAACCTAAACACCTAAACCTAATCATCCTAGGCTAAAGCATATTGCCACGGCAAACATGAAACATGTTTATGGCCTATTTATGTCTTACCAGTAATGACTCGATGCACTGAAGTAACATCCGTACGGGCGTCTGAACGTAACCACTACATCAGGTGGAATGGGAAATGGTGCTAACTTCAGCTTCATCTAGTCTCTATCCACTGTTCCAGTCTCAATTACAGTCAGTAAACCAGGGCTTTATCACTTCAGACAGGGGTCACTGGTTTACAGATATACACTCGGATGTAACATTTACAGTTTGAGTGTTCTTGTGCTGTGAGTTTATTCATTAGCTCACAGTAACTGGTCCAAAACACTACCGGTCCGTCGTGAATTCTCCTGACCCTCCCAACTCTGGAGACTGTTGAGTCCATCATCCTTCAAAAGAGCTCAGTAACACTGAGACAGATAGAGTATGTATTTACACACCTTGTGCTGATTGTAAAATAGCTTTAAAAACAAGCATTTATGATGTTTCTTTTGAAGATGGTATATATTTTTAAATGTAGTGGGTAAATATCCTAAAAGTATTCTCAAATGTAAAAGGTATCTGTATTCTGAATAATGCCTTTACAAAATGCGACTTAGACCGAATACTTAATTGCTTAATACCAATTATTGTATTCTGAGTATGTATTCCCAATACTTCTTCTGTTAGCCTATTCTGTTACTATTCAACCCTGTGTGCAAACAGCCTGAGAAGAAGGCAAGAGGTTCACTATCACTTGTTTTGAAGTACGGTAATTTAAAAAAATAGAACACGTCTATCAATTAATAAAAGGATGAATTCTTTTCTGGTATATAAGATGCAGATCGCTGCTGTCGGAAGAAAACCTTATATCTCCATTTTTGTTGTTTTTCAGTTTTTGGCAGTATTTGAAAGTGCCTATTGTTCTTTATATTGTGTGTAGATTTCATGAAGAGTGGCCCAAAAGAAACAACACAAAATGACTTGGAAAAAATTCTGGTTCCATTGACTTACATTAAAAGTAAAGTTTTTTTTTCCTTCTCCTGTAAAGTTACCATTTTGGAGATACGAGATTTTGTTCCGACACCAGTGATATTTAAGGTTTAACTGTCTACCCTGAACGGTATTCACTGTTTATGTAGCTATGCATGTGTCCATTCATTTGATTCAATTAAATTATGATTCATTTAATTACATTATTGAAAAATATGAAAAAAACAAAACAAATAAAAAACAAATAGTTCACAATAGAATGTATATTAAACAACGAATTATTTTCTGAATTTTAATATACATAATTAGGGTTTAACAGTCTTCCTGGTTCATGTATGTGCGTTAAAGTACATTAAGCTCAAATCACAAATGGTTCCCTAATCCCTACCTAGCACACTTCACAGGTCGTAACGGCGTCTACGAGCAGACTCTCACTATACGTTAAATATGGCATAATTTGAGATTTGGCTGTGGACTGAAAGTACATAAGTACACTAATTTGGAGTAAAAGTCATTGTTTCACGACCTGTGTAGTGCACTATGTAGGGAGCATGAAGCTATTTGAGATGCAGCCCAAATTTAAATAATAAAAAACTAGGAACGTAAAAAGAGCATTTTTTCTCGACTAAACGATTCGTATTTGAGTTGTAAGCATAACTGGTTTAACACTGAGCCGGAAATTTGCGTATTAAAAAAAAAGTATTGAAAGACAGTAAAACGAAAAGCCGACGCGCACGCGCTCTGGGGCCGATGACGTAGAGGAAGAGGCGGGGTGCGGTCAGCGCTCACCGCGGAAGCGCTGGAGTGAGTGTGAGTGTGTGTGTGTGAGTGTGTGATGGTGTGATGGTGGGAGCGGGGGGTCTGCGCTCCAGGACAGCGCTGCTCCCCGTGCAGTGACCATGCTGATAACGCTGTGCTACGTCTACCTGTGGGTCCGCTTCCAGAAGTGCTACACGGCGGTGATCCGCAGCGCGCTGAGGCGGCTGAGCGCGAGCCGGAGCGGAGTGGCTTTCTGCGCCCTGCGCGAGCACAGCAGCCCCGCAGCCTTCCTCACGCGGGGCAACAAGGCCATTTACATCACCGAGCCGCAGGTGATTCCTACACCAGTGCATGTTCACTCCAGCGCTGAGGGCGCGTTCACACTGGCAGCCCGAATCCAGTTTATTCGTGCATTCGCTTTTACTCGAGTCCGGTCCAAACCACATTCGGGGTTACACTGCAGGTCCAGAAGTGTGTAGACAGCTGCTAGTCCTGAAATCAGGGGTGATACAGAGGTTGTCGTCCCTTTGCTGCAGTACCAGCTCTTAACTACCTTTTCTAAGAAGGATTTACACTAGATGTTGGAACATTGCTGTGAGGATCTGATTGCATTCAGTCATTAGAGCAATAGTGAGTTCAGGTACTGATGTTGGATGATTAGTTGTGGATCACAAACATCACTCAAACTCATACAAAAGGTATTTGATGGACTTCCAACACCAGAGACCGCACTGTCACTGCTCCACAGCCCAGTGCTGGGGGGCTTTATTCCCCTCTAGCTGGGACTTGTCATTGAGCGTGGCGACCCTAGGCTCTTGTGCTGCTCCAGATCATCCGTTTCATTTGTGCTACAGTGCTTTGCTATGGAGATTATACAAGCGTATAAGCTGTGTGTGCTCAGTTGAACGCCTGTGTCAGCGATATCTGCACATTTAAGCTGCATACCTTACATACCTTTTGACGTGATTAAAACTGTGACAATCAGGCAACCCAAATCCAGTTTGTTTGCATAGCCAGAGTGGCGCCACACTTCCGAAAGTTCGGCGGCCGGCTGAGTGACTAAATGTAACTAGGACGTTGACTGAGTAACTAAAACTGCCTTTCATGTCATGTTAATAACATGTCTAATAACATGTCTCCATAAAACCACTCATGAGGGTTTTTGAGATATTGTATCTTTTTCATTTGATTTGGACACCACAACAGCTGAAGTGGACCAAATTACCAGTGGTGGACGAAGTACACAAATCATGTACTTGAGTTAAAGCAGAGATACCCAGGGTAAAATATTACTCCAGTAAAAGTAGAAGTTCCTCCCTTTAGACCTCCACTTGAGTAAAAGTACAAAAGTATTTGCTTTCAAATGTACTTAAGTATCGAAAGTAAAAGTACTAAAAGATTAATTATGACTTTAATGTTCTATTAGCATTTTTGTAACAAGACTCGCTTCATTAACTCATTTTAGGTGAAAATACTCCAGTGTCACTCTTGGTAAACCAGTCTTTTAATAGAATGTCATTAATTAGTGACACTGATGTCTGTTAAAATTATCATAAAAACAAAAAAAAGGCAAACAATTTCCATTAGGTAGAACCGAGAGGCTCTGAAATAACCTTTTGCAAACAAGCAAAGGCACTGAAAAATAGGTACTGAATACTTATTCAAAAATAATCCAAAATAAATTACTTTAGATCGTTTTTTTAAAACTTCCTATTTGCTTGAACTAAACACCAGGCATCTTTTCTTTTTGTGTAACCGCTGACCTGTAGATTATTGTTGGGGGTCAGAACGCACACTGTTGCAGTGCATGCTGGGAACTGTAGTGCATCTCAGGGTGAAACGGGCTGATAAGAATAGAAAATTAAAATAATTTCGCGGGTAGAGCAGGACTGTGTCACGGGCCTGACTTGACCCGCGGTCCTTGTGTTTGACACATGGGATGTAAGCGATCTGAACTCAATCAGAAAGTGGTGGGTCGTCACCCCAGTACTTTAAAAAGCGGTGGGTCAAACGTCCACTCGCACCTGTAGCCCTAGTGGCCTTGATGTTCAGATGAAATCAGATTCTAATCTAAAGACCAAACAGAAAACACATGTATTGGGATATTTTGGGAATTCCTTGCCTACCACATTTGTAAGTAATTTTTATGTGAAATCGCATTTCTGAGGTTTTTGGGCTGTGTTCACACTGTTAGTCCAAATCGGATTCATTTGCATCAAAATTGGATCACAAAAAATCACATGAAACCCAGTTTTTAAAAATACAGTCCAAACCACTTTTCAGTTTGCAAGAACTGCTATTTTTTGTGAGTTTTATTTTTGTGAGTTTTAAATGGGAAAATTTGACATGATTAGTACAAAACAACATAACCAGAAGTAACTAACTAAGCCTCAAGTGGGTGAGCTGGTCTTCTTGCCCAAAAAAATGAACAAATGAGCCGTCACTGCTGATCTTTTCCAAGATCAAAACTGGAAAAACAAATGAGAATTGCCTGCAGTGTGAGCGTAGCCTTAGTGAGTGAATCAATGAATGAGTGAATATTCTGTTTGTTTTATACAGTGGAGTCCAAAAGTCTGCGACCACATTGAAAATCTATTTTTTTATTTAAACTTGGTAATAAGCAATGGAAAGTTTTAGAATTGTGAAAAATTAAAACAAAGAAAAGTTATGACAACTAAAATGAAGACGTATTTGAAATTCTGCTCTATTTCTAGATCACTTTTCAAATTGAAACAGATTTGTGAAATTGATTTTTTTTAGTCTTATACTTTCTATTTAAATACATGTTCAAGTGGATCTAATCTACTTGTCGGAGGCTTTTGCACAGACTTGTGGAGTTTGTCAGCTCAAGTGTGTGCTATCATTAAGCAAAAGGTGGACATACCAAATACTAAGAAATTTTGAAATTCATGTAAACATTGAAAGATTCTAGTTTTCACTCAAATTGTGAGGCTGATATTATCATTTATAATGAAAAACCTTTGTGTTAAATTAGAAAGGAGTATAAAGTAGAAGCATTTTCACCAGGGGTCTCAGACTTCTGAACACTGAACTAATATCAAGTGTATCAGTAATACTCACAATTCTCTAACATAATCAGTTGTGTGATGTGCTTCTCTGTAACCGCATGTTTGTTTTGTTGTTATACCCAGGCGTGTGATGACCTCAGCAAGTGGACGTTGCTTTTGGGGTCCTCTCTGATTAGTGGTCCAAGAGTTGAGAATATTGCCTTTATTATAGAGGCTACAGCAGGACAGAGAGCGGACCAATCACCTCAAAGAGTGAATAAGAAAGTAGGCTATTCAGTATGGATGCAATTTAACTCTACTGGAACACACAACTGCACATTACTAACTTTCACTCTAATCTGATATATATGTATGTGTGTGTATATATATATATATATATATATATATACATATATATATATATATATATATATATATATATATATATATATATATATATATAGTCAAACTATGTTTTAGATGAAAATTAAGTTTCACACTCAGGGAACAAAGTTATATACGTTATATTTTTATGTAATATATTTATTGGCCTATGTACTTGTGTTTTTAATTGGAATGTGTATATATGGGTCATTCTACAGAAACGTCCACTCTTCTGTTTATCCATAGGTGTCACTGATGTTACCTATCCTCATTTGTGTTACACATAAGAAAGGTAACACCAGAGACATTTTTTTAATGAAAAATGCATTTTACAAAATGGCTGCTACAGAGCATCAAACCACATGTCAATCATGGGATATCCACCTCAGAATAAAGTCAGTCACACCAGTGACTTCAGCTAAAAGCTTCATATGAAATCATGAGCTAAATGAGAAAATCTCTGATAACTGAAAGACACAGTGGACTCACCATGTGCTTTTCTTCATAGATCCTCAGAAAATAGGTAAAAGGAAGTCAAGTGATGTCATCAGTGTGATTTTCATTTCAGAATAAGAGTTTTTTTATTATATATTATTATATTATTATATATTTTATAATATTTATTTGGCGTTTGTTTTCTTTATCTCATTTAATTCATTTATTTCATGGTCACGTATAGATTATTGTTGTTAAAATTGCAGAAAAAATTTCTTCAAAATCTGGCCTCAGCCTTTACGCATGACTGGGGGACAAGAACTTCTTTGTAGCTTGGAATTCAACATAATTGATAATAGATAATAATTTAAAAACCAATATTGCTAAATTGAGGCTGAAGAAGGTGTAATTATTAAAATAACTTATTTTTTATTTTAAAATATCAGTAAATTGTAACCCTAACAGGTTTTTCAAGTGTAATATATCTGTAAACGCTAGGAACACAAAAATGACATTTATGTAGAATGACCGATATATGTGTGTGTACATATATATATATATATATATATATATATATATATATATATATATATATATATATATATATATATATATATATATATATATATGAGAGAGAGAGACACAGTACCCTGATTGAAAATAGTATCGTACCTGAAAAAATGTGTGTCTGTTAACAGTTAATTGATAGTTTGAATTTTTCTGTATATTGTCACTCTTTTGGACTTTGCCTTCTGTTCATAGATATTAAGTCGTGTATTTTACTTTGTCATTGCCATAGTTTTGATATATGAACAAGCACTTTTTAGTGAGCATTTCAGAAATGTGTGAAAACACACATAACTGAGCTCTTTTCTAACTTTTGACTGTTTAATTTGTTTAATGTTCTTTGTAGGGGCTGAAGTGGTCAGATTATTGCCTTCCTCTGGCCTGCAGTCCAGGGCAGCCCTACAGGGCAGTGGCTGAAGCCAGCCTCGACAACTTCAGCACTCTGGGAGTGGCTTTTCTGGAAGATCGTCTGCAGATGGAAAATGGCCTCATACCGGAAAAAATAGTTTGTTAGTTTAATTGTTTCTTCCTCTGTTTTCTCTGAACCCGAAGCAAATCCTCTCTGCAGTGTAACAGAGCCATTGGCCCCCCTCACTGTAGGGGTCAAGCATTCAGGCTTGTACCGTTCACTCTGTGTTCAGCACTCAGGCACCCACCCATTTGTGGATAATGTAGTGAAGGGTGACTCCTCTGACTGATGCATGAGCATCACCGTCACTGAATGCGTTAACAGAACAGCCACAGTTTCCAAGCTTTTTATTGATGTCTGCATGCAGATGCCAATTTAGTCCCTGTTCCTACAGAAACACTAGCACATTGAACACACACACACACACACACACACATATATATATATATATATGTGTGTGTGTGTGTGTGTGTGTGTGTGTGTGTGTGTTTGTGTATATACATATATATACATATATTATGCCTGATGTACATATATATATATTTATAGACATAAACAGTCATTCAGAGTGTTTTGATGTGGATTAGTTGACCATAGAGAAACATGCAGACTCTTGTTGCAATATTGGTAATGGGAACTGCCAGTGGTGGATTTTAAAAACATCTCAAAGTTACTTTGAGGTCACTGTATTGTTTTTATGTATTTATCATATTCCTCTTTGTTTGATTGTGTCTGGCAGCAGTGTTACTCAGGGAATCTGCACTGAAAGAACTCTTTGAAAAGCAGCAGTCGGACAAGGATAAACAGCTTGAGTCACTCCCCGCCAGCGTGCCACAAGAGATTGTTTTATCCGCCGCTTCTCCGTGTGAGCAGGGGCCTGTGGATGTGCTGCAGGTCCGCAGGAAAAGTAGCCTTCGTTTGTCAGCCGTGCGCCGTGACTCGGACGCATCCAGTGGCGGCAGTGAGCGCAGACCTTTACGCGACCAGCAGGTGGAGTCAGAGCACACAGCAGAGCACCACCACATGGAGGGCCACCACCTGCACCTGTCCAGCTGCCATGAGTGCCTGGAGCTGGAGAACAGCACCATCCTGTCGGTCAAATACGCCTCAGTGGAGAACATTCCCGACCTGCCAGATGACTATGAGTGCACGGGCGTGGACGATGAGGAGGAAGCAGGCGAGAGCTTTTCGGTATGATCACATGATTTTTTTTCACAGTGTTAGTTTTTGCGGAAAGCTGCAAAAGGCAAACAAGCCCTGTAAGAAACTCACTAAATCTTAAAATGTCCATATCATAGAAAGCCAATTTTTAAAAATAAAGGAGTTTAAAGCTATATGTAAAGCAATATGTAAACATTGTTAAAGTTTCAAAACATGCCGTTCACTCCTCAGTCCATATATGAAACAAAGCTGCAAAAACAGCCTGTTATGAATTTGTTGTTTCTGCGATGTCACAAAAAACAACTAATTTACATATAACCATTTATTCAGCTTATAGCCGTTTAGCCCTCCCCATTCATATTAAGATTAAGAGACATATTCGTTCCACAACAGGGAAATTTCACCTCCGCAATCAAATCCATCTGTGCAGTGAAACACCATATACACTAGGGGGCAGTGAGCGCACTTGCCCGGAGTATTTGGCAGCCCTATCCACAGCGCCTGTGGAGCAGTTAGATTAGATTAAGTGACCCTTATTAGTCCCACAGTGGGGAAGTTTCACCTCCGCACTTAACCCATCCGTGCAGTGAAACACCACATACACACTAGTAAATGCACACACACTAGGGGGCAGTGAGCGCACTTGTCCAGAGCGGTGGGCAGCCCTATCCACAACACCCGGGGAGCAGTTGGGGGTTAGGTGCCTTACTCAACCTTCCAGTCACAGGGCTGGTTCCTTAACCTCCAGCCCACGACTGCCTTTACATCAAAGGTGTAAGGAGTGTTTCAGCTCTGAGTGCTTTTTGCAGCCCCAATTTCATTTGTCTTATATCAGTCTTAAAGGCACAGTAACAAAAACAGCCTGTTTTCTAAGGGAAAAAGAGAGGTTGGAAAATGGTCATGTTAATATGAACCATTTTCACACAAATGTCACAAATGGACCTACAATGCAAGAAAAATGTGGGTAATGGGCCCTTTAAACCTTCCAGATGAGTCTTCTGTGTGTTTTGATTAATCAAGGCAGTCACGTTTCAACAAACATATTTTTTAAAGTAGCCATATGATAGATAAATGAATTTTCTTTTCTTCTTCACAAAGGAGTTTGATGTGCTATACAAGCATCGTTTGTTTCAAAACATTCTGTAAATGGAAACTAATCATGAACACATTTACGTGTCCCAGTCTTCCGCCGACAGCACTTTAACCTGCACATTTATAAGGAGTGTAATTACTGCAGACAGTCTATAGTAGAATTAACAGAGTGGAGATAAAAGGAGTGGCTAAAGTTTATTTTTCCAGTGTTGCTGAAGATGTCAGTCCAAACCCAACGGTTCCTTACACTTCCATATAGTCTGCTTTTTGAAGGCACATCAAGGACAGACCAGACTAGGCCAGACTTTAGTAAAGGAACAAGTAGAAAAGCAGCCTTTATAAAAGGGGTAAAATCATATACATTTTTTGTACACTTTTTTAATAAGAGTTTGATGTGGTATGTAATCATTGTTGAAGTTTCAAGTCTGTAGAGTCCATATATGGATAATAGGCTGCAAAAACTACCCATGTCACCCTGTTTTTGTGATGTCACAGCCATGACTACTTTTACATCTATTTACCTGTTCATCCTGCAGCAGTTTAGCCCACCAGTTCATGCTGAAGTTACATTGCTTGTGTCAGCCTAGACTGCTTTTTGAATGAGGTATAATACGGGGCAGCCAGTCAAAAGAAAGCTTACTTACATATGTCCGTCTCAAAGGCACGATCACAAAAATAGGCTTTTTATTTCAGAAGCGTAAAGAGAGATTTGAAAAATTGGTTTTAACTGTAAGAAACAATACGCGGTTTGGTTCATAAAGCCGTATAGACTTTATAAATTTAGTTTCGGGGAGGGGGGAAGTAAGGAAAAAAGGAAACAGCATGGCTTTTAATAGTATAATGAAGTCTTTTAACCACCTACACAGCACATTAAAAATATATGAAACGTTTTAAGTTTTTCAGTCCTTTTTACATGGCAAAGTACACCGATCAGGCATAACATTATAACCAGCTCCTTGTTTCTACGCTCATTGTACATTTTATCAGCTCCACTTACTATATATACTATAACACACCACCACATTAGTGTTACTGCAGTGCTGAGAATGATCCACCCCCCAAATAGTACCTGCTCTGTGAGGGTCCATGGGGGTCCTGACCACTGAAGAACAGGGTAAAAGGGGGCTAACAAAGTATGCAGAGAAACAGATGGACTACAGTCTGTAACTGTAGAACTACAAAGTGCACCTATATAGTAAGTGGAGCTGATAAAATGGACAATGAGCATAGAAACAAGGAGGTGGTCAGAATGTTATGCCTGATTGATGTATGTTACAGTCATCACATGGTGCAGTGTAACTGCAATATGATATTTTGTCCTACAGCCCTACTTCTCAGGCCAGAGCCAGCGAGTGAACACCAGCGGAAAACCTCCAAACGTGCTGGTGTTCACGGGAGGCTGCGAGGAACGTTACGAGCGCGTCCGCTCTCTGCTGACTGAGTGCATCGACATGGACAGCTACACTGTCTACCCTCTGCAGCCACAGCAGGCGTTGGGTGAGCCGTGGCTGGAAAGTGCCCTGCTGCTGGTGCTGGCCACTGACCAGCCGCTCACGCCCCAGCTGCAGCTGCGCTTCCTGGCCTACCTGAGCCAGGGTGGAAAGGTCCTGGGCCTGTCAAGTACTCTGTGCCCCGCCGGACTCCGACTGAAGCCCAGAGAGGCACAGAGGGGCAGCGTCTGCAGACTGAACTTCACCAAAGCGGACAGTACGGAGGTACAGCTGAGCGTGCTGGCCAGCGGGAGCGTATATGAGCGCGAGCCTCATGAGGGCAGCAGCGCACAGGTGGAGCTGTGGGGGGAGCTGAGCACCGAGAGGAAGGAGGAGGAGGAGAAGGACATGGTCATCGTCAGAGTGACCCATGGAGAGGACAGTGGGGAAGCCGTTCTGTGTCAGGTAATGGAAATGCAGGC